TCTTTATAGTGACATGGAACTTCAAAACACAATTTCACATTATTATTGTTGATATTACAATTTTATTCAAAGAGATATAACGATACCTTTTATAAAAACTTCTATTTTCATTTAAGTTGTAATTGCTTGATAATTTTAAAATATATATTGAAGAAATTGATAAATATATTATTCAAAATTAATCCGTACGTATGTATGTTACTGAAATTGTATCAACTATTCAATGAACCTACTAAAAATAAAATTTAAAAAAAGCAGAAAAGCATTTTCAAAAACATGTATATAATATATATATGTGTAATATATATATATGTGTATATATATATACAGANAGTTATGTGGTGAAAATGAATTTTACAGTAAAAGGTACTGAAACACTCAGTTTCATAACTTTTTACCGTCATCTTTTTACAGTGAAATAATTTCAATCCTTTACCAACCCCTAGCACATAAATGCGAATCAGCTAGCAGCTGAAGGTGCTGAGTTAAAATATAGACTTGTGCATATTTTGCATTTCATAATATACTCTTGGAAACTACTTAAAATTTAAAACAATTTCAAATAATAAGTTAATCTTGGAAATCAACTTAAAAAATAGAATGTCACAAAACTTATTTTTATACGTTTTCTAGTGTAATAGATTATTCATGATGATATCAGTTGAAGCAAATATTTATAACAAAATAAACTTATGACACCCACTTCGTACATGTCTCGTACATTCTCACTTCGTTCCATTATGTCACATCAGGACTTTGCAAGAATCCTACACTTGTGTTCGAAGTCAAAATTTTCTGAAAAATCTCTCTCTCTCAAAAAATAGATAGAAATATTCAATGATAGAACTCAAACGTGAATCGAAATCTACACTCCTCAAAAGTGAAATTGCAACACCAAGAAATAACATTCCAACAACAAGTAATATATATGCATTCAGTATCCTCCTCAAGTATACTGAATGTATATATATTAGATGTACTGAATAGTATGTACTGAATGTATATATATAAGAGTTCAGTATATTCCTCAAAAGTGAAATTGCAACACCAAGAAATATGCATTATTTCTTGGTGTTGCAATTTCACTTTTGAGGAGTGTAGATTTCGATTCACGTTTGAGTTCTATCATTGAATATTTCTATCTATTTTTTGAGAGAGAGAGATTTTTCAGAAAATTTTGACTTCGAACACAAGTGTAGGATTCTTGCAAAGTCCTGATGTGACATAATGGAACGAAGTGAGAATGTACGAGACATGTACGAAGTGGGTGTCATAAGTTTATTTTGTTATAAATATTTGCTTCAACTGATATCATCATGAATAATCTATTACACTAGAAAACGTATAAAAATAAGTTTTGTGACATTCTATTTTTTAAGTTGATTTCCAAGATTAACTTATTATTTGAAATTGTTTTAAATTTTAAGTAGTTTCCAAGAGTATATTATGAAATGCAAAATATGCACAAGTCTATATTTTAACTCAGCACCTTCAGCTGCTAGCTGATTCGCATTTATGTGCTAGGGGTTGGTAAAGGATTGAAATTATTTCACTGTAAAAAGATGACGGTAAAAAGTTATGAAACTGAGTGTTTCAGTACCTTTTACTGTAAAATTCATTTTCACCACATAACTTTATATCCTAATTATTCCAGTATTTATTTAATTAAAATGCTTCAGTAAATATTGCTGTAAAAATTATTATGCATAAGTTTTTTTTTTTTTGCTCCCTAAAATTTTAAAGAAAAGCAGAATTTTCCGGTAAAAAGTAATGATCTTTCCGAGGACATGTTTTATACCGTAATTTCATCAGTACTGTTTTACTGAGTGAAAGCATTTTCTAAACACCTGCTGATAGTTTACACAAAATATCAAATAATATTTAGCATAACTTTAAAATTGGGTGATAACCCTGATAATTACAAAGTCAAGGTAATTACTCTGATAATTACCTCGATCATGGTATCTAAAACATGTTGTTTTGCATTAATTTTAATTAGGCTAAATACTCCCTAATTACTACGATAATTGCAAAATATTGAAATAAAACATTTTTTAGTTTTCCTGTTTATCTCCTAAAGGAAAAATGATCAAAATTTCAGACTTCTATTTCGGTAAGCGTGTTATCTAATTAGGCTAATTACCCCGGTGAATTAGCCTAATTAGATAGCACGCTGACCGAGGCAATTTATTTTTAGTTTTTTCCATGTTTCAAATTTGAGGGATCTATCTTGATAAAAACGTGTTATTTAGTATTCATGTCAATAAGGATATTTACACTCAAATTGCTCAAAATTAAACTTTTTTTTAGAGTTTATGCTTATATTATGTATGGGATACATAGTCTAAATTTGAGACTTCTATCTGCTTAAAACGTGCTATTTGACACTACTGTCAATTGGTCTAATTACTCCCTAATTTCTCCGATAAATGCAAAATATCGAATGAAAAGTTAATTAAGTTTTCCTATTTATCTTTTAAATATCACAGTCCTCAGTTGAAAATCGTATTCCAGTAATAATGAGTTATTTAGGATAATTACCCTTAATTAGGTCGATAAATACAAATATAGATTTTTTTTGTTTAGTTTTTTGATTTATGCAAAAGGAATATAAGATCAAAATCGAAACTCTCTAACAACTGGGAACTATCTTTGATTTCATACAGAGATATTTTGCAATTTTTAACATACCTTGCTGAGGCGAGTAGGATTAATTCTATCACACATTGAACAAAATAAAACAATTTATTCTTTTCACTTTCACATATTCGAAAATTTCTTTCTAGGTAGAATATTCAGTAACAAAACTTTATTAAACTAATCCGCTTCAAACTTTCAAAGATGAAATATAAAAATTGAATTATTTTCACATGGTTGAAAGACAATTTATTATGGATATGAATAAGATTTGGTAAAATATATATTATACAGTTTTCATGTATAACTACAATGTAGAAAAGTTCAGATCGAATTACCGTATATCACTTCAGGTGCATCATTCGTAAAATCCGTTTTTGTCATAAAATATTATGCCATAATTTTTACAGAAAAATTTATTTTATTATGGTGACTCAGTGAGTTTTACTTTATTTATTATTGCTGTAAAAATCACGGTACATCAGATATTTTCTTCATAGCATGTTCAAGTAAAAGTTGATCTGACTGTAAAAAGTACCAGCATCCTGAGTGCCGATATTTCTTACAGGAATTTTTTACAGTCGTGTATAGTTTTGTTACAGCTCTGTACTTCCTCATGCAGTTATACAATGAAAAGCACAGTGAATAGTACAAAATTGTAAAAATTTATGCATAGAAAAAATAATAATAATGCTTTTCGAACAAGTTAAGTTTGAAATTTTTAACTTGTATTTCCTTTTATCTAAAAAAAAGAATAACGCGCTTTTGTTTAAACGCGTTTACAAAAATTAAAGTTCTGCTTCCAACGCGACGTCTTTTAAGGCAGTAGAATAGATAATGAAGAACAACAACAACGAATTTACATAGTACAGGAAGTTTAGAACAACGTTGAATTGTATCTCTGAACCAACTACTACCAGTGGGTAAACCTCGGTGATGTAATTTTCAAAATTTGTATTACACTGTAAAACATTCTGGATTAAATTATTACATAAAGTACCGAGACTTTGGGTGCATCATCCGTAAATCCTTTCACCGTAAAATCCATTTTTGCAGTAAAATCCATTTTACTGTAAAATTTTATTCCATAATTTTTACAGTATTTATATAATGAGAGTGATTCAGTGATTTTATGGTCAATATTACTGTAATATTTTTGGCTTATGAAATTTCTTTCCAAAACATGCTCTGGTAAAAAGTAGATTTTACTATAAAAATGACTGCGCTCTGAGTGTCTGAACTCTTCCGCAATTTTTTTACAGCGCGTACTAACTGAAGTACAAGGTGGTTATAATTAAAGTTAGGCTATCAAAAAGCGGGGGAAAAGAACCGCATCTCATTATGACCTGAAATTTATTTTGAGAAACTAAGAAGGTATGATAAATTATATATCATAGGGAAAAAATAATTGTTCAAAATTAAAGCTTCAGACGGCAATTGACAAACCATAATGTTATGACTACTAATGACAGGCAACAAATTAAACTCTCCATTTAAAAAAATATTGTAAAAGCTCTTTATTTAATTTTAAGATTATTCATTTTGTTTGCTTGGATTTAAGTCTCACTACATTATATCTAGTTAAGCAGTATGCACCTCATAGTTAAAGATTTTAAACACTTACTATTCTTATTCCTTATCTATTTTCCCAACAAAGTAAAAAAGCCTCCGCACGGATCAATTTAGTAGTCCGACATAGCGAACATAAACTGAGCAAAGGGGAACATTAAAAAGATGTCACAATGTTCGGGCTACCGAACTGCGCAGTGGTTGAAAATACAAAATATGACCCTACGTTCAGACTAATAAATCATTGAATTAATTGCTTATTGCAACCCGTGCGGAAACCTTCTCTCTTCTAAGTAGTGTCGGTTCTCCTTTATTAACGGATATGCAAATCAAAACTGCTCACTCCATTACGTATTCCTTCAAATTATTTAAGAACTATCGAATCTATCAAAATATCCAAGTCATTAGTAGTAAATGGTGACTGATGCACGTTAAAACTGTCGAGTCGCAAAGTCCTCCATCTTCCCATAACAAATCAATACCTCTGGCGGTAATGATCCAGGAATTTCCTTGTCTTCTGGATTGGTTCAAAATTACAAGGCTACGGAGGTGAAGATTAGTAGTCGTAAACGCAAAATTGGGTCGGCTGTTCAACGACGGATATAAAATAAACTAAAATGGTTATTTTATCACAATGAAAGTAGTATTTTAATTGTAACTAGCACTAGTTTTCTTCAATAGTGTATTTTATTTATAATCTTCATTTCCAACCGCTTATGATAATATTTATTATGATGATGTTATTGTTATTGTATAAAAAATATTTTATTAACGCTTATGCTTCTCTGTTATAGGATTTTAGCATGAAACTGTAAGAATGACGACAAAGTTTGCCATGTTGATTTCGTTTACGATAGGATCACGATATTATCGAAAAATACCATAGCCAAACATAAATCATGGCTTGGCCTTTTAAGAGCTTGTTACTGGCGGCTTCTTTGGTCACTCATGTTGGTTTCCTGGATGCTAAAAGTCACTTTAGACAGAATGTGAAATCAACCACAAGTGAACCGGAAGACCTGGAACTGGAAGTAGTTCGTTTTGGTGCCATACTACCCAAAACGTCACTCATAACAGTATCGAGACAGTATAACAAGAAAATAACTGACTCATTGGAAACTCTTACGAAAGGTAATTAACTGACAAACATAATTTCTACGTAAATATTTTAAACAGAACTTTTGTTTCTAAATTTATCGAGACAGTATAATAAGAAAATAACAGACTCATTGGAAACTCTTACGAAAGGTAATTAATTTACAAACATAATTTCTACGTGAATACTTAAACAGAACTTTTGTTTCTAAATAACAAATTCCGCTTTATTTATTTATTTTTTAAACTTTTTTTTTTTGCTTTTAAATTGATAAAATAAAAAGTGGTTAAGAAGGGTTGGATGGTTTGAAGGTTGGGTATTAGGATGGTTTGATAATTGATATATAATATGATAGTTTGATAGTCCATGGATAGTTGACTGCGCGTTTTATTTTATAACCGTCGTTGAACAGCCGACCCAATTTTTGGGTTTACGACTACTAATGTTCAACTCCGTAGCCTTGTAATATTGGACCTAATCCAGAAGACAAGGGAACTCCTGGATCAAGTATTGGGAGAAATTTTGCCTTCGTGGTGGGCTTTTTAATGGAACTTACCCGCATTTGCGTTACATGGAGAGGAAGACCACGAGAACCTCCTACGGTTACCCTTACGACGAAGGGACCTTCACCCATAATTCGTGTACCACTGAGGATATTTCACGTCAGCACTGTGGTCGGTGCAAGCCGGATGCGGAGTTCGTATCGACTGGGATTCAAACCCGGTTCGCCTCATTGGAAGACGAATGCTCTATCCCCTGAGCCATCGCGGGTCCCTATCCAATATTATTATATTTGTAGTAATTTCAGTATAACACATTCTTTCAATCAATTTTCAACGAAACAAGCAGCAAATAAACTCGGAAGACTCCGCATTCTTACTATGATGTTACACAAAAAATAGCAAATGGTGCTATTTTACACATATTGCCAAATAAGGGATAACACTCAAAACATGGCTAACCTTGCACTTTATTTATGCTGTGATAATTATTTTGTTACATTCCTTTTAGACTCACTACCTATTAAAATTTATAAATTACAGAAAACTCTTATGAATGGTAAAATTACACGTAAATTTAAACATAAATCACAATAGCAGAACTTCCTAGCATATTAAGCCACATCGCTTCGTAAGCATAACGTAAGCGGAGGGATACACCGGAAGTCTAAATTTCTTCTGATTTTAGGAAGATTGCTATTGTTTACATTCAGTCAAACATCCTCGCTCTTTTGACTGCAGTTTTAATTCTGTTAACTCTTAGATGTAAATGGAACACCAGTGTTCCTTTTATATATTTGTTTTCAGATGCTCTAATTATGAGCAAAAATATATTTTGATATTTTTAATTATAAAAACTAGTCTAATACTTACTGAAAAATTCTGTTATATTACTTGAATTGTAACTGTACTTAAATTTAAAATAAAAAAGTAGTTAGAAATCTTTTTTTATTCACATTTAAAAATTTATCAATATATGATTTTGTAAATTAATGAAATTTCAATGATTAATAATTGTTTATCACTGGATTTTTTATTATAGTTAGACTTAATAGGATACCGGTGTCCTTTTCATATACTTTGTCTGACCCTCTAATTGCAATCAGAAATATATTATAGTATATTTATGCAAAAATATTTTGGTATTTTTTAATCATACAGAACAATTTAATAAGTCTTCAAAATAAATCTGTTAGATAATGGGAATTATATCTGCACTCGAATCTAAAAATCTAAAAATTGTAGTTTGAATTTTTTTCTCATTTTTCTTCAAAAACTTATCAATAATTGATTTTATAAATTAAAGAAATTTCAGTGCTGAATAATTGTTTGTCTTAGATCTAAACAACTGCAAATAAGCACAAATTTAAAAAAAAATATTGTTTAGAAGTTGACCAAGTTTGGAAAGTTTTGCCTTTAACACAGAAAACGACACCGGTGTTTCATGCCGTATTTCATTACCATAAATTATTAAAATGCATAATAAAATATTTTTCACTCATTTTGACCTAACTTAATGCGAAACAATGAAAAAAGTATAAAAAATATGCTTATAAATTCTGCATTAAAAGTTTAATGATAATAAAGGATGTTTCATAAAAGAAAGATTAAACTCTAAGAGATCATACCAAAACAAGCGTTTCTCATTAAAAAATTTATGATCGAAGTTTAGCACAAAAGTGTTAAAGATCCTATAAGGGGATTATATGTGGCAAAACTACACAAAGAATGATTTAAAGACAAAAGCAACTTGGCATATGATTGAACAATGACATATTCAACAAGTGCAAACTGAGTTCAAAGAAGCTAGAGAAATTGATATGCTTATGGCACAACGGTAATAGAGTATTGGCGAACATTGTAAAAAGCACCAGATATACATCGCGAACGACTCTTGTAATGGCTAAAGGTCTGCCAAACGCGGTATTCGTCAAACTCTGTAAGGATAGATACAATAGAGCTGCCACCTTCCGAGAAGAGATCGAAGTGTGAAATATCTAGTTACAAGATATTTCACACTTCAAGTCATTTTTGAGGCCATGAGTTCTGCGATAAAATTGCTTGTTTGGATGTGCAGAATCACTTATTAAAGTTTTGTCTATCTCTTATTAAACACTCTGCATGTACACGTGTAGAACTGCTACCATATGCTTCATCCTTTATGTTAAAATAGGAGAAGAAAATCGGTTGAATAGCTCTGGTGCTCAGGTTGAAGATGTATTTCTGAGAAAAACTTTCTCCGATAATTTGTAAGTTAGAGCAAAATATACTCAACTTATTCGTAGATGTGACAAGAAAGAGGGGAGAAATCTATATTATATGCTTCAGAAGTTTTCAAAATATACTAATAATACTAATTGCTGTTGTTGTTTCTAATGCCACTTGCCACACGGGCAAGCCTGCTTGCTGAAACCGAGCAAATTTAAGGCAGAGTGTGCGTTTCTTGTTTTTCAGTGGTGACATCTATTGCCAAAAATTCGACTTCTGCTACACAATAAATCGCACCCGTTTATAGGGCGGAACCATTCATACGTCCATTTATTCATCTACAGATCGTAATTTTGACCTGAATCAGAGAGCGCTCGATCTCCTATCCAGTATCCCCAGAGGTTTTGATTTGTTATGGGAACATGAAGGACTTTTGCGACAGATTTAACGTGCATCATTCAAACCCACGAACTCTCGGATATGGGCCCAGTGCCCTACCAGCCAGACTATCCCGGCCTATAATGCTAATAAAATTTTTATTTTCATTTTAACTCGAATGTTACATTTTTTAAAATCATTAAAAATTTATTTTCATGATATTTATATTTTTATTAAAATTTAGAGTTTTGAAATTAAAAAAAATAATCTTTTTTTTTCAGGAAGGAATGCCAAATTTAGTTTTGGTCGATATCAAAAAGTCGTGAAACCATTAATAGTTCCCCTTCCTTTAGACCCAAGTCCAACTGTGGTGCTGAACGCTCTGTGCCAACAGATGCTGCCAGAAAATGTTATTTCCATCCTTTATTTAACGAACGCAGAGGTCTACGGTAGCAACGCAGCATCTGCTCAATACCTGTTACAACTAACTGGATATTTAGGAATACCTGTTATTGCTTGGAACGCTGATAACATCGGTCTTGAAAAGGTATGATCTTCATATATATACTTCCTAATTTGTATAAAAAATATTGAGTGCATGAAAGAAAAAATACACAATTTTTTTCATATTCAACGCCATGGTTTCTGGGGGTTATTGTAAAATTTACGATCTGCAAACAGCGGAAATAAGCTTTTGTGAATTAAATATAGAGACCATGTTTCCTTTAGAGAGGGACAGGAACTAATGCGATACAGCAAACCTTATTAAATGATATTACCTTGGCCTTTTAATGCTCTCCTAATTATTGAAAGATTGATTCTTTATTTGCAATATTTGTAAAATAAATAAAATAAATATTAAAGATATGAAGAATTTGATAAATGTCTAGAGAACGTGAGGGGACCTTTCTTTCAAGAAATTTGAATTTTTGATCTCCAAAAAAAGAAGGAGTCGTCAAAATGAAAGGAAGTTTTACATACGTAATCACTACTTTGATATAAGTAAACGATCAGAAAATCAAAGAAAAACGATAATCTTTGATTTTCTTATCATTTACTTCTATCAAAGTAGTGATTACGTATGTAAAATTTCGCTTCATTTTGACGACTCCTTCTTGGTGCGCGAATTTTTCTGTCCATGAGTGTAGTTTTACATAGCAAAATACGAAATTACGAGATTCGCTGTTCGTAAAACTGCGTCAGCTTGTTTGATTAATAGCTATACGTAAAAGTGCAAAACTAGTAATTTGGAATTGGATCTCATTGAATTAACTTAAAAATAAAGAAACAGTTACATGCTAGTCTGTAAGTAGTTTGCAGAACTAAAACTTTTCATGGAAAGTTTATGGGAACTAAATTTCTTCAAACTAAAGTTCATTAACCTTAACTTGAGTTCAGAATAAAATCTTTTTTATAGGTTCCTTCGACATCTATCTAGCCAATTTTATTTTATTTTATTACCGTCGTTAAACAGCCAATCCAGTTTTGAGTTTACGACTACCGATGTTGAACTTCTCAGCCGTAATTTCGAGCCCAATCCTAAAGACAAAGAAGAAATCCTGGGCGAAGTAATAGGAGAAATTCGTCTTCGTTCATCGTAAATTTGCCCAATCCGCATTTGCGTTGCATGGAGGATAACTACGGAAACCTCTTATGGTTTACCTGTCGACAAGAGGACTCTAACCCATGATCCGTATACCATTGAGAATATTTTACGTCAGCACTGTGGCTGTTGCTAGTCGGGTACTAAATTCGTATCGACCAGCCATCACTGGGATTCGAACCTGGGTCACCATAGGGAGGAAGCGCTTTATCCCCTGAACCACCGCGGCACCTACCTGATACATTAGCATAGAATTAGAAAAACCATTACAAAGATGCTAAATGTTTTGATTTTTTTTTAAATCCAGTATTATTTCTCATACCTTCCTTTCTGCCAACCTATCTGAATGCGTCAGGCTAGGAAAAAGAGCCTTGGCAATAAACTAGAACAATTATTAGCCAATGCATCCCTTATATTTCGTTGGCTATAAACATTTTAACGTCAACATGTGACTTGATTTCTTGATGAATCCTGTGGAGCTTGAACTCTGCAACCACATCCACCAGGCCATTTTTTAACAACCCATATTTTTGTGAAAAGTGTTTTCGAAAAGGACATCCAAATTAGCAAAAACATACATTATTGGCCGAGATAGCCTGGTTGGCAGGGTGCTGGGCTCACAATTGTGGGAACGGGAGTTCGAATCCAGCCGGCCGAAGACTCCCCGTGTGACTGGTGAACGTTAAATCAGTTGGGTCATAAAGTCCTCAATGTTCCCATAACGAACTATGGGAGTACTTAATTGAGAATTGATCGTTCTCTGCATCAGGTCAAAATTACGATTTGTGGACGAATGAATGAATGTATGAATGGGTCCACTCTATAATTGATTGTGTCGTACGAGTGTGGCAGAAGTAGAATACTTGGCAATAGATGGCGCCACAGGAAAGCAAGAACAATTGCGCTCCCTCAGCCTTAATGGTGGACGACAACAACAGCAAATATATTATTTTTTGCTTTTAACTCAATCTGATACTTTCATAAGTTGGTTTAGCGAAATAAACATATTTGTCTTTTTTATCATTATGAGAGGGACATATGGACAATTGATTACTTTTGTGATTACTTAACTTCATCAATGTATTTCTTCAGGCGCTATGTTCCCCCAACAACCAATTCTTCTACAATAAATGATAATCAACAGCTACAAGATTAAAAATCTACAAATTCTCCCTTTCTTTAACAACTGCAAATTCTTCCTTTACAATTAAAATCAATGAGTAATTCTCAATTTTTAAAGAAATTTATGAGTCCAGATCATGCATTTTTGATAAAATTTTTAAGTATTAAAAACTTAAGCAACCAACACTTGTCTTTTTCACAAAACTAACGCTTTCTTCTCTTTTCTCTGTAAGATCTATTTCTCATTTGAAAGGTTAAATTTTAACAAAATCGAAGTGTTCTTTATTTACACTAAAAAATGCTTTCCATTCATTGGACATAATTTTTAAAAAAATTAAAGACAAAATTGTCTTTGTATAAGTTCAAGTTTCAATTTAATATCCGGTAGTAAATCTTTATCTTTCGTGAAAATAAAATTATAAAGCCGTCGAATACACTTTCAAATTTTCGAACTCTTTGTAGCAATTTCCTAAGTATAGGTTTCGAAACATATGCAAAATAAAAAATAAAAGAAATTTAAAAAATACTGAGAATTCTCCCCATGTTTGCATCGTCTGCGCTCTATCAATACCATAAAAAAGTTCTAGAAAGCTTTTTTGGTAAAAAGACTCGGATTACACAAGGTAGAAAAAAATCCTGCCTGGGGCATGTTTTTACAAAATAGGCTTTTTTTCTTCTTTTTCCCCTTCAAATTCTAAGGAGGAAAATTTGAGAAGATTTTTCAGTTTTTGAGGTGGGAAAGTTTTTTTAACCTTTTGAAAAAGCTATGCCTGAAGCTCGGAGAAGAAATATAGTACCGTAACTTTCTTTCAAGTTGAATACAACTATTAAATTCTAAATCATTATTTTTCCTAAGCCCTTTTATATATGACCCTATTTGTGAGCACGTTTTTCACAATTTTATTTTTTTAAATTTCTTGGGAATTTCAGCGCACTTTAGACAATGTTACACCCTTATATTTTATTATGCTAATAATTGTCGAATTGGACATTTTTTGTTTACACATGTAATTTTGTGGCGTAACTACCACTACAAATATTAAAGACCAATTCAGTAGTATATAAGACAAGTTAACTCGATTCTATCTTGAGGTACCTTATGATAGATGAAGGTTGACATAATCGAAAAATAAATTCCCTCAATCTCACAGGATTAAAAAAAAGTCGTCGAATCTAAGAAAAAAGTCACTAAAAACAGTCCTTTTGCACCATGTAGCATCTTTTAGCATCCTGATCTCGGGAATTTGATTAGTTTCAAACTTGAATAACGTTTGTATTTGATTAGGAAAGGAGTTCCCAAGCCAGAGTGGCGTGGATAATGATTTTGGCACTTTAACCACTGTTTCATCTTGTCGTTTTGCTTTGTTAAGACAGTGATTTTGCAGGCTAATCGAAATTTAACATGGCGGGTTCATACAACTGGTATAATAACAAATTTACCAACCCGATGAGCGAATTTACCAACCCGTATCAAGAGTATACTCATCTTGAAGGTTGAATTGGATCATACATAATATTAAAGATAGTGTTTTAGAAGATACATGGCAGACACACGCTGGGATTTACCTAGTTTCATGACTTTTAAGTAACTAGTTTTTGTCACTTTTAAGTTATTTTATATATCTACAGCTTCTAACAGTAGCACTTATGTCATTTAACCATGCAACAATAAGCTAATCAACTTTGAGAGACCCAAATTGGTATTTGTAAATCCAAAACCAGTAAAAAAACAATTTTAAAAAAATTGTTTTTGAAGTCAATGATCTATTGATATTTTAGTGACGTTTATACTTTTTAAACTTTAGATGTTAATGTTTGGGAAGTGAAAAAAATAAACATTATGCCTTGATTTTATTTCTTGTCCACAAGCTTTCAATTGGCGAAGTTAGAAAAAATTTCTTCCACTTTGAAAACTTCTAAGGATTGTCTACTAGTATCTTCATACATTAAGATCTCCGAAATTTAATGACTACTTAAACAGTCAAAATTACACATTTCTTTAAGATTAAAATAAGAGTTTGTCCTGGGAAGTCTAAAATTTTTCGAAAGTGCTTTTTAGAACGTTCTTCTAGGAAGTTCTTCAATTCTTCTCCTTCAAACAATCTTAGTCCTGGGAAGTCTAAAGTTTTTCGAAAGTGCTTTTTAGAACGTTCTTCTAGGAAGCTCTTCAATTATTCCCCTTCAAAGTTAAACAGTCTTTGTCCTGGAAAATCTAAAATTTTTCGAAAGTGCTTTTTAGAGCGTTCTTCTTGGAAGTTATTCAATTCTTCTTATTCAAACAGTCTTAGTTCGGGAAGTCTGAAATTTTTCGAAAGTGCTTTTTAAAACGTTCTTCGAGGAAGCCCTTCAACTATTCTCCTTCAAAGCAAACTCTCTCTGCAGCGAGTTCCTCGCCAAGTTACTCGCCAGTTTCTCTTTCCAGTTTTTTCACTGTTTCGGAACTAATGTTGACAGTGGGGTTATCATTTACGCACTGCTTGCCTTTATTTTCAAAACAAAATTCTACCGATCGATTTGAAATTGGTTGGACTTCATGCCCCATCGAGTATCGAACCACTGCCTTTCACGTGGGAGCACATTGTCTTAATAATCCATCAATTTCCAAAAAATAATTTAAGAACCCGCATTGGGAGTTGTTTTTTATAATAGGATTTTAGCTTCATTAGTTATAAGTGTCAAAATATTATCACAGGAGAATTACGAGAATGCATTCAATGAAACTTATAGAAAGGCATTGCAGACCATTAGAACTTTCAATATTTTTCTATTAGGAGTTTTTTTTTTTTTTTTGTAAGCGATAAAAACAGCTGCAGTCAATAAAATTAAAAATAGATGTAAAATGTATATTTATTAAAAAGAAGAAGACATTTCACTTAAAATGGACTTAATGTTTCCAAATAAAATAGTAATCACTCGTCACCATCTGATAGTTTTATGTATATTTTCCTCATTTAAAAAGCTATTACTTGCGACATTATGCGTAGTTTATATGCTTTTAATTAATTTTTATTAAAAAAATTAATAATTTCAGTGATATTTTTTAAAACAAATGAAATTTATATATAGTTACAATTTATAATCTAACTTGAAATCTAGTCTAAACTTTTTCTAAAAGAAAAAATTATTTTCCTTTAACATAGCTTTTATAATTGCAATAAGTCTAATGTGAAAGATTTCCCTCAAAATTTCTGATTACTATAAAAACGAGCAACATTTTTCAAAACAACTTTTGCTTTTTTGTCAATAAAATATCGTTTCTTTAGTCTTCGAACACTAAATTGATTAGATTGAATACATTTTTGTTTAATTCCTTTCAAAGTACATGATAAGAAATAGCAACAAATTGGAAACGCCTACACATAGAAAATAAAATATGTAATTATCTAGTTCTGAGAAGTAGTTCATTTATCTATTCTAGATATTCAAGCATTTTAATTTAATTTGTAGCAAAATAAAAAATAAAAAAACCTAAGAGTTTTAAAATTTGAAAATTTGCGCTGGAGAGCAAATTTTCTATTCAACACATGATCTTGCCTGATTTGGGTGTTGGGATTTCAAATCTTAATTCAGTTTTGTTTGGAGAGCTACAATTTTTTTTATTGATATTTTTAATTTAGATTATTTTTTTTTTAATGCACAAGTTTATAAAACGTATTGGTTTATATACTTGTCTGCTTCTTTGAAAATGAAACTTGAGGCAAAATCATATTACCTTATTGTATCACATCATAAACTGAAATGTATTATAGTCTTCTTTCTACCATTTCCTACGTAACAAAGAAGTGGGGACATATAGTATTCATTCGAGTAATTTTTAAAAAATTCACTTTAGGAATATATTATTAAATTTCGTAAGAAAATTTTCAGAGAAAACTATTGCATCTTTGTTTACGTTAATTATAACAAAATATTAGCAACATATTAATTATAACAAAATGAATGATTACTTGGATTCAAAAAATAATCAATTATACTTGGAAGAAAACATATTTCAAAAATTGCGCTTCATAAAATTAAAGAAGAGTTAATTTAATTTGTTTGCAACATACATAGATTCTCTTAAGTTATTACAAATAGGAAATATTTTTTTTTATCTTTCTTGAACTCTTGAATAAGCTTCTAACATTTTTAAAAATATAAATAAAAATAGTAAAAGGCTATCTTTATCTTATAATATCTTGCTTACTTTATCTCTTTTTGTTACCTTCTACGTCAAATCAAGTTTGAGTATATAAAATAAATATCTCGAGTGATATAATAAAAAATTTAAAATTAGAATAAATAAATAGTCATCATTTAAAGCAAAAGAAGTGAAAACAAATTCGTAGAAAAAAACACTTAAAATTGTAATAACTTTCAAATAATTTGGAATTTTGAAAAAAATAAAATCCGTCCTCAGGGTACTTTTTACTATAAATTTAAATTTTCAAACTAGCTACCGAATGTTTTTTTTTAATTCCATCATTCTTTCTGTGCATTTTTCTTCACGCCTTCGTAATTTCAAGTGTCTGTAATTTTTGAGCTGGTAAAACAAAATGTCACAATAAATTGAACACTGAAAACAGGGGTGGCGTTTCCGATGTTTTAATATAAAGAGATAATTTAAGCAACTTAAAGATGCTCGAAAAACCATGTTCAACACCCATTAAAATATCTATGTTCTATAATTCTTTCGAAAAATATGTCTTGCGTTTAAAATATAATTGGAATCGAATTCAAATGCCCCCAAATTACTTACAAAGTTATCGTTCAGTAAATTTCACTTAATTTGCACTGTTTTTATTTTTTGTGTTGCACTTTTCATGAACAAATGTTAATTGTACTTTCACTATCTACACATATATCTATATATAAGAAATCAGTGAATGTGAAATTGTTGATTGTTGAGTTTCTTTACCTTTTCTTTAAATTTAAATTTTGGATATTCAAATTCCTTAAAGTTTTTTTTTATTTTTTGCATACCTTTTAAATTGATTATTTATTTGCATAAAAACGTGATATATTGAAACAAATGAATATATTAAATTTATTTTTATTTATTTTCATGCATTCTGGGTATTTGGATTTTCTAGAATCAGGTAATTAAAAAACTTAATTTTTATTTAAAATTAAAAAATTTTCGAATTCACTTTAAATTAACGGAGATTTCCGATTTTATAAATAATTACGTACGCATTTAATTATTATTTTAAAATTGTCTCTACACTATCTGTCTAATGCAATAACTTGCATTCTTAATAGAATATTGTTAAATTTAAAATGCGTCTATAAATTAATGAAAATATTACAATATACCAACTTGTACATAGTTTATACCCAATATATATTATCTAAAGCACTAATGGAATTTTACTTCGTTTATTTATTTTTTCTAACAACTTACAAAATATAGAAAAACTTGTAAAGCACTGACAATTTACACCGAAGAGCCATTACATTATGACCACCCTGCTAATAACATGTAGGACCACCTTTAGCCCTCAAAACTGCTAGCACCCGCCGTGGCATTGATTCCACAAGGTGCTGATGGGTAGTCTGAGATATCTGGTACCTAGCGCTCACCAACTGGTCCTGCAATTTCCTCACATTGCGAGGGAGTAGTGTGGCAGCACGAATTTGGTTTTCCAAGTGGGACCACAAATGCTCTATTTGATTAAGGTCAGGTGAATTTGGGGGCCAAGACGTGACTTGAAAGTCACTGGAATGTTCCTCGAACCAATCCATGACGATTCGACCCTTATGACATGGTGCATTATCCTGTTGGTAAACACCATCCCCCGCAGAAAGAACTGTTGCCATGAATGGGTGAACCTGGTCAGCAACTATGTTCAAGTAGCTTACAGACGTCGGTCCTAATGTGCAGCATTAAAACATTGTTCCTGGGCGAGAAACCATGAAAACCTGGGCGAGCCCATTGTTATGGATGGAGGGTGGTCGTAATATAATGGGTTTTCGGTGTATATATCTTGAGTAGATGAGATATTGCTTATTTTTAAGAAATAAATATAAATAAATTGAACTAAATAATTTTTTGTTACAAAATAATGAAATATTTTTTCCTCCAATAACGTCAAACATTTGACTCAAGTAAAAATAATATTTAAGTAAATAAATTTATAAAATAAATTTATAAAATAAATTTAATAAAATAATAAATTTAATGAAAACCTGTATCTAGAAATATCGTCTTTGTAATTATATATATATTTTGACCGTAATTCAATTTAACCTCCTTTTTTATCCTACGACATAGCGAAAAACTATGAAAATAATAAGTCAATTCTTTTTATGTTCATAAAACTTTCCTGGCATATATGAAAGGACTTCATACCTTATGCACCGACGTTCTGAACCATTTATATTTTCAATTTTTTTTTTTTTAATATATATTTTCGATGATCTTCCTTTTCCTCTCTTAGAAACCAATAGCATAATCATTTTTTAGCGAACACTATGTACTGCAAAACATACAAAATATCTATTTTTATTTTATTTATTTATTTAATATTCTAAACAATTTTCAAAACATTTTCTTCCAGTGCCTTTCCAGAAATTTTAATTTGAAACTCACATAAATACGAAATATATCGCGCATTTTACATTTAATGTTTATAAGTGTTCGTTTATAAATACTAATTGTGAACTTTAAATAGATTTTACGCCAAACAGAATTTCACTTTTTCAAGTTCAGCTATTACATATTTTTTATACAATTTTTACCAACATACAGTGTGTCAAATATATAAGAAAACTGTAAAATTCATCTAGAGAGTATCCCGGCAAAAAAAATCTAAAAAAAGCACGCATAAAATATTTTCAGAAAATGAATTCAATTATACTGAATCTCAAGCCTTGGTGAAGCAACTTCAGATTCTTAAATAAGATCTCTTTTTTATTGCAGATTTGGTTTTTCCATAAATAATACCCCCTCCCCAATTTTAGGTACTAGTTGCTATATTTTAGTTTATAAGTGAAGCTGTAATTGCAGAATTAACATGACGTGAAAATTTTTCGAAATGAAGATGTTTGAAGAAATACATATCATACCACAAAGAGAAAGGAATAGATGCTTAATGGTTTGAAAAATCAGTTGATTGACCCCAAATTTGATACTCTTCCTATGCTAGGATGACTCCCGGGGATGTGGTTAAGTTTGGCACATATATACAAGTAAAAATAAACAGAGAGGCACATATAGAAAAGCTCTGAAGAACAGACCTCCCTGGTCGAGAGGTCTCACCGTTACCATTGAACGCTCTGTAGTTTGGGAAGTAGAGGGTTTGTATCCCGACATAACGCTAGATGCATCTTTTTTCGCCTTTATTGAATTTGTGATGTCTTAACATTGATAAGGGCTTAAGCACGTTCGCTTAAATTATCCTCATAGCTTATATAATTATGTTTAACAATAAATAAATAAGTAAATTATCTGGGTAGAAAGTCACTGATAATTTCCTCTTGCTAATCCGAAGGGGCGATATTTGTTAACACTTATCTGCTTTTATGCAAACATAAGAGTAAAACTAAATAAGAGCATAAATCTATTTTTTTTACTATATCAAAGATTTTCTATCATTTAATGCTGGTATATATTAAAGCGATATGATTTAAAATAATTCAGAATTTAATTTCATTAAGAAGAGACAGTGTTGCCTAATTCTCTTCTCGGAGGAAAAAATTCTGCTAAATATTCTATTCTGTAATGGTAAAGACTACTATATTTAAAAAAAAAAATAATACAGGTAATAAATATATACGGTATTTACCATTTGTGTGGAAAATTTCATGTTTTTGTGGGTTTTACCGGTGCATTGTTAATTATTGTTAATTTTACCGAAATCATTAACCCGCATCGATAAAAATTATTGTACTCATTGGTGTACCCATAGAGCTAAAAATACGATCAATTTTACCATAATCTAGTTGTTTAGACTATACTTTATTTAAGTGTAAGAAATCTCTAATTTGGCAACCTTTATTTGGCTGTGTTTATATTTCTGGATTGTTATTTTGTGTTAATGAGTTCATACAAGATCCATATATGCCGTCAACCCCTGTAATCCGTACTCAGCGGATAGAGCCTTCACCTTACAATGAGGTGAACCGGGTCAATATGAAATCCACGCCAACCACAGAACTGACGTAAAATATTCTCAATGGTAGACGGATCATGGGTTAGAGTCCCTTTGCCGTCAAGCTAACCGGGGGAGATTTTCGTGGTTTTTCTTTCCATATAACCATCAAAAGTCCTCGGTGAAGCAAATTTCTCCCAATACCTGATCCCTTGTCGAGTTCAAAATTGCAAGGCTACGGAGTTGAACATTAGTAGCTGTAAATCCGGAATCGGGGCGGTTGTTCAAAGTCAGTTATAAAATATAATAAATTAATATATATTACATATAAAAGTTATAAAACACTATGGGGGAAGATTGCTAAAAAACTAAAGTAGGATAACTAATGTAACCCTTGATAAAGCAACACAGATAAAATATCAATAGGATTACCAATAATAGAATTTAACCAACGGATTACAAATACTTTTATGAGCATTTATGTTATTAAATCATAATAAAAATAATTCAATGTCATATAATGATAAATAATTATTAATTCGACAATTTACTAAAATTACTGTAATTTATGCATAAACTATGCCACAAACAATTAATCAAGATATTAATTAATCCTCTCAATCATTCAAATCTCAGAATTCTATCGGATTTGTGTAGTTAAAATTTTTACTCATCCCTTGTCGACAAACTTTCCCTTGTCGACCTTGTCGGTAAATTTGTTGTCTAAATTTGAATGCTTAAGCGATCACAAAAATGTCCGTTGTGTGAATATCGAATATTTAGTTTTTCTACAGAAAAATCTTCTTTTTATTTCAGCTGTGCTACTCTGCTATTTATTGTATTGTAATTTTGAAACTGTGCAATAGATCAATTTAATTTTTTATCAAAGACTATCAGAAAAAGTGTCAAAAGGGTTTTTTTTTGTACGCTTTTAGAATTTAACAATCCCGATAATAAAAAGTTTGGACTACCAATACCAAGATTAACAATAAATAAGATTATAACTATAATGCTTTTAAAAGTTTTAGCAAAGGATTATAAATAATTTTATGAATATTTATTAAAGTAAATGTTAATTAATTAATATAATTTACTGTTTTGTAATAGAATGAAATTATCAACTATTACATTCACTAACATTTTTAACTATTCTAAATATAATTTATTTTCAAATAGTACAACTTATACTGGTTTTATTTTTATCAATTTATATGTTGAATCTATACAAAACTGAATTTCTTGGCAATATTTTTTTGCATTCACACATAAAATAGTTTTAATATGTTTTTGAATATGTTACTAAAATATGAAATTATGAGCAAAAGCAAAAAAAAAATTTCTGTTTTACCAAAATAATGTCAAATTAATTCGAATTTTTTTTTTTTTTGCATTTTGTTAAGAAACATAAACATTTCCTATGAGTATTTAATTACATAATTTTCCTATGATGTTTAAAATGATGTACAATGGAAAATCATCTACTTCTTTAAAATATTATTTTGTATGCAGAAAAGAAATACCTGTATCTAAAAGAAATTTCCTTAATATTTTATATTTTTTTCCAAAAAATTCAAAGCACTACTTCCCAAATATAGGAAGAAAAAACATTTTTACCTAAAACAATAAAGTAAATATCGTTTATTACTTATAGTACACAGATATTATCCAATCATTCTATTTTAACTTTAATGTTAGAATCAAATATAAAATTGTGTGTAAAATTGATAAGGCATAAGTTCTGTCTGAAAAATTATTTGGCAAACATTTGGTAACTTTAAAAATTATTTATTTAAAAAGTTTTTTTTTTTCTAAATGGAATAAAGCATGCAATTCTAAACGAGAAATGTGATATATATATATATANTATATATATATATATATATAACGCAAAAAACGCAGTTTATTTTGAAAATTTTTCCGTTCATACGGTAATGGTTTTCCTTATGGCTTTCCACATCTGATTTTATAAATTATAGTTCTTATTGCCATACATATTGTAATTTTAACCTAATAAATGGTTTCGATTTTATGCTCTTAAGTATCATAATAAAATTACTAAATTTTTCCACATTTTCGTAATTTTATCACATATTATGAAACCATATTTTATTTTTAATTTTTGTTTTATTCTAGTTTAAAAATATACTCTTCGATGAGTCTTTTTTAATTCTAAATGCATTTGATTAACTCAATATCGTAAATTAATTTTTTTAATAATTCAAAAAATATAATTAAAGCGTGGTTTTTGAAGAAATTTTTGGTGATAAAATAAAAATGTTATGCTTAGTTACGTTATATTTTTATACGGTTACCATACCAACTTAAATCTATTTAGATGCCTATAAGCGACGCATTTGGGTAAAAATTTTATTTAAAAAAAAATTCGTTCACTAGGAACAATTTAGTTACCAACATTTAAAAACCATACTTTTAGCTATAACTTTAAAACTAATTATTATTTTATTCTAAAACTTTGTACACAGACTTCAACTAATATTACCAGCATTGTGTTAAAATTTAAAAATGATCGAATGAAAATTTACGATTTTAACGCCCTGTGTCCCCTTAATAGTATTTACGAAAACTGATATTTCTTTTGTTTCAGAGGCTTCCACAATCTCAAGTTTTACAACTAGCACCGTCCGTGGAGCATCAGTCATCGGCAATGCTTAGCATCCTCAGGAGATACTCCTGGCACAAATTCGCCATCGTCACCAGCCAAATTGGAGGACATGACGACTTTGTTAGAGCAATCAGAGATCAAGTCCTTGCCATAGTAGATTTCAAGTAATTTTTCTTCTACAGAAATTTGAGAATTTTCATTTTTTAAAGGACAAATCAATTCAGTGCAATGCATCTAAAAACATTTCTGATATAAAGAGATCAAGTTTAATCATTTGCAAAAAGTTTCTAGTAACAATTTTACTAGAGCCTAAAAGGTAATCAGGCAACAGGCTTTCGAAGGATGTTCTTAAACTACCACTTTAATACCTATGTTTTGAATCCCTGTTATTACTTAAGTATTTTTAACCCCGTAAAGCTGAAATTGAATACTGAAAAATGTTTTAATTGTGTTTAAAGCGTTTTAAACAACAGTATTCTCTAATAGCTCTTTATGGCAAGTATAATTATGTAGGTTCATGTAATTATCTAAAGTCAAACTTTCCTTTTTTTTTAAATGAAAACAAAGGAAAACGCTGTTTAGTTATATAATCACATTCATATGCTGTTTATCGCTTAGTAGTAAATTTAAGAATTTTAACGCAATAATATTGTAGGAAAAAGCTAAAGGGAAACGTTATAAACAAATCACATTCGTGCAATGTCTATCAGAAACTGCATTTATCAGGTGCAATGAACTTTGATATTTATCTCGAAAATTTACATTAGATGGTAAATTTAAAATTTTTAAAGTAATAATTATGGTCGATACTTTGAAGAACCCAAATTTAGATTTAATCAAAACTAACATTTATTTTTTAATTGAGGCTTTCAATTATATAAATGATTTATTCGTATGCCTCACCATAAATTACTTATTTTTGGTCAAAACGAATATCCTAAACAAAGTCTCGCATCCCCCCACCCTTTTCAAATACCAAAATCTACTATAATATATAACTAGTCTTTTTTCCCAATTTTTTGTTTCCTGAATATCCTTTTAAAAAATTCTAAAAGTATGTAACAAAGATGATGCTACCAGAAAATCTAGCACATAGTTAAAAAATAACTTTTTTTTTTCCTCTTCTGTACACTAGATTCACGATAATGGATATCTATACATTAAAAGCACGTGATCCTGAAGAGGCTCGTCACGAAATGTTAGAGCTTGCAAATAGTGAGGCCAGAGTTTTTCTACTTTATTGCAATCGCCAAGAAGCAATGTACATCATGAGAGCTGCAAATGAATTGGATCTAACGGGAAAGAATTACATTTGGATCGTTACTCAATCAATTGTTGGCCCAGCCTTTTCTAATACACCACCTCCGCCAGATTTTCCACCAGGTCTTCTGGGTGAGTATTTTGTTCGTTATCTTAAAGTTAACACACTTTAAAAATTGAAGTAAATGATAATGTCGCTTACTTAACGTTTTATAATAAATTCTGTAGAATGAATAATGTGTATTAAGAATAATATGTAATAGGAATAATACTCGATGATATATTAATAACAACGGGAAAAATTACATATCCAATCAGTTGTTGGTCCAGCCTTTTCTAATACACCACCTCCACCAGACATTTCAACAGGTCTTTTGGGTGAGTATTTTGTTCATTATCTTAAAGGTACCGCTCTTTACAAATTTAAGTAAGCGTTATCATATATAAAAAATGGCGTTTCCGATAATTTATGTAGAATAAACAATAAATAATAGGAATAATATTCTATGATTTATTAAGAATAATGGGAAGAATTGCATATGAAACTTTATTCAATCAGTTTTTGATCCAGCCTTTTCTAATACATCACCTCTACCAGATCTTCCACCATGTCCTTAGGTTAGTAATTGGTTCATTATGAAGTTAACACGATGTACAAATCTAAGTTAGCGAAATCTTTTGAAAATGACACATTATACTAATTAATGTAAAGTTCTGAATATAGAATAATTGATATAGAATACCTAAAATGCTTGAGAAGAATAATTAATGATGTATTATGAATAACGGAAAATAATTGCGTTTAAAACTTACTTAATAAGTAGTTGTCCCAGTATGTCTCTAATACATCACCGTCACCAGATTTTAAATCTGATATTTTAAGCTAGAATATTACTCAATATTTTAAGGTTAACACGTTTTATCAACGTTAATTAACAATTTCTTATTAGAATGACATACAAAGCGTAAAAATGAGGACCACCCTGAAAAACTTTTGATCTAATGTCGAGCGTTTTCCTGACCGAAAAAATTGAGGCCATTTTTCCCAAATTGTATCTTACCCTATATTTTGGGAGTCAGAAATCTGAGTCCATCGAAAAAAAGGTATACTTATTCAAAGAAAGTATGTTGCCTAACAAATTACCATATTTAAAGTCACCCTTTCGAATCATTAAGATGGAGACCTAGAACGTGATGATCCGATCATTAGATGAAGTAAATCAGGAATGATCTGTTTTTTTTTTTTTTTTTTTTTTATACATGAATCTGGTTTTTTTCCATTTGGTTCCGTTAGTTTATTGTTCGAGCATCGTTTGGATAGAGATATATTCAGATGGGATTGTAATCACGAAAGTCACCCGGAAAAGTATGTTTATAACTGTTCATAAAAGGACACAAAACATAATTCCTTGAAGAGATTGATTGCAAAATATACAGCTATATTTCAGTTACTTCTCAACGTAAGTGCTATCGAATTTTAGCACTTTCCATACATGGTGTAGGTTTTGTATTCCAGTATCACAAGAGTCAGTCACCTGGGAATAGTGCCTGCGTTTCACAGCTACCTATATGCCTGGTGCAAAGTATTGCCTGAAAGAACAAGTCTTGCAAACATTTTTCAAGGCCAAGGGACAGTCGCTAGGAACAAGATCGGAACTATATGGTAGTTGATCAAAGCACGAGCAAGTCTTTCAAATCTCTTTCAAGAACAAGTGACAGTCGCTGGGAACAAGATTGAAACTAAATGGTAATTGATCAAAGCACAAGCAAGTTTTGCAATTCTCTTTCTAGAACAAGTGGAAGTTGCAGTGGAATAAGATCGGAATTATTATGGTGGCTGGGCAAACACTCAGTGATGCTTTTGTTGCTTTCAGCGACGAAGCTCTCACAGTTTCCAGCGACGTCGGAAGGTCAGAAGTCAAAGATGGAAAAAAATAAAAATTTTACTGTGCTTTTTTCAAACATAATGGTTTTCGGTATCCCAAAAATCATGAAAAAAATCTACAAAAAGTGGAATAATTAAAGAAATAATTAAAATTTTAGAAATCTGTTTCACTATGCAAACTGGAGGCTAAACATCTATCTTCATACCAAATTTAAACTAAAGTGAAATCTGCCGGGGCTTTTATTTAAGTAAAACCATACCATACAATTGAAACAGAAAAAGAAAATGAAAGAAAGAAGTTAAAAAAATGATGGAGAATATATATTGGATAAATTAGTACTTTTGTTTCTTAAAAATTGATTTGTTTCATTATACTTAAAATTGGGAATGAACCTGATAAGGGGATTGCACTGAAAAAAGAGGATGGTCAAAACTACCAAAATATGGTACAATTTGCATTATTTCTGGCTGTATGGGAGCTCCCAAAAGTTCGGTAATTTTTACCAAAGCACCTTTGCAATGATTTCAGTAAAATTCACAATAATATTTGGTTTTAAATTATGTGATAAAATTCGATAAAAGTTGGTAATTTTATTAGAATACCTTGGAGCATGGCAAAAAAAAATTTATTTGGAGAAATTCGCTTTTTATTATTTTTTTTACTAAATGTGTAGTAATAAGAACTATAATTTTGAAAACCAAAATTTCCGGTAAACAGTTACCCTACGAGCGGAAAACTTATACATAGCATGGGACCGGGGGGTCATAAAATGACCCTCCCCCGCTTCCTCATTGGTTAATAATTGCACAAACTAAAATCTTGAAAATCTTACAGTACATTATTTATGCATAAGAGTATACTGAGGTTATGTTTTTGAAATAATTCATGAAATATTTTTAACAAATGATAATAATGTACAGCTTTTTTACAGAACTATTCAATAAATATCTTTTTTTATTAAATGATCGAAAAATATCTTGGTAAAGTGTTCAATTTACTGTATGGAAAACTGTGCGTTCAATCTTCAAAGGAAAGCGCTCAATCTCCATAAAGAGTACGCTCAATCTTCCAGTATTTATTTTTTTATTTATTTATTTTTTTAAATTTATTTATTTATTTATTTATTTTTGTGAAAAAGGTGCTCAACGTTAAACTTATCATAGTCAGTATTACGTTAACAGACTCCCCTAAATAAACATTTTAAAAAATTTCAAAAACCTAAAATACAGTATATTTTTGAAAAACTATATAAAACAATCATGTTTAAACGACGATATTTCACTTTTTAAAATTTATTTATTTCCGAAATATCTATACCAGAGAAACATTAATTTCATCCGAGCAAATTTCAAAGAGAATGTCAAGCATAATAATATGCCTTGAATTTCCGACTAGCATTATTCCCAGGTAATGCAGTTAAAATTCTGCCGATTTATAGCTTTAGAAGATTCGTCCAATCAGTGCTCAGCATAGAGCACGTCATCTATTTTTCATTGGCCAGATTCTCCCGCTGTAACTAGGCTCCATTCGCATACATTCTGCAAGAAACTCAAAAAAGAAAATCATTCCTGGGTTTTCCACCTTTTTTTTACGAAATTGTTTATTATTCGATTCTGCTGCTAAAACCTGGGATCTTTTTGAAGCGGTTAAGCCTCTGGCAGTTTGCAAATCTGGGTTTATTGAATGTAAATTTCGTGTCTGTTCACGATAAATTTATTCCATCTCCTAACCTTTCGCAGAAAACATTTAGAATACTATTCTTAAAGAAATAAATACCCGTTTAAAGTTTATTTAGATTTTATTATGAGATAACAATAACTTCTTTTTGTGTTAAAAACGTCAAATCCAAGCGCAATCAATTTTGCTTATACTGGAAAATATGACGTTTTAAGAGGAAGAAAAAGTTTTTTAGGAGTTCGATTATTTTTTTATTGCAACGATCAAAAAGGATATTTTCATAATAAAAGAAACGAAGATTAAAGAGATTCAGAATTAAATGATAATTTTTTCATTTTCATACGTTTATTTGTCAAACTATAAATAAATATGTAATATGAAATTACTTAAAAATACTAATTAAATGTTCATTTATTTTATAAATTTTGAATATAACTTTACACTATTGGAAATTTTAAACCACGTTGGCCAAATTTGTGGGTACCTTAATATGGTGGCAAGTTGACATTATAGATTAAAAAATTCCTTGATATTTGAAGCAAACACGTTGTTCAACTTTATATTTCATTAAGATTTCACATCGATACTTTAAACTTGCGTGATATTTTGGTTCAAAGTGTCGATAATTTTGCTCAACGTCAAACCGATTTTCATGATGATGTACAACACGGAGGAAAAAATTTCGGGAACAACTACCGTACTGTTTGGTAATAACAATTCTGATAAATGTACAACTTAATTCTGGTTAATAAAACCAAAATGTACTGTGCGTAACCCATTCATTTGGCAATTTTTTTTGCTCACATCGTAACGGTTTACTGGAAATTCTGGTTTTCAAAATTATAGTTCATATTAACACGTATTTAGTAAAAATGCGAAACGGAAAAGTGAATTTAACCGAATAAATGGTTTTTATACCACGATAAAATTGCCAAATTTTACCACATTCTATAAAACTATATTTTATTATTATCAAAGCAGATATGTCACACTGATAATATAACAAGACTTGGAAATTTTTTTCAAAAATTTAAATGTGCAGGATGGTTTATAAGGAAGTATACAATTTCAGTGATTTATAAATCAAAAATAATATTCGATATTATATACTACCTGTTACAGAATTGTATGGAATTATTTTATTTTATAACCATCGTTGAACTGCCTGCCTAAATTTGGGTTTGCGACTACCAATGTTCAACTCCGTAGTCTTGTAATTTTGAACCAAATCAAGAAGACAAGGAAACTCCAGGACCAAGTATTGGGAGAAATTTGCCTTCGTGGAGGACTTTTTGGTGGAACTAACTCGCATTTGCGTTACATGGAGAGGAAAACCACGAAAATCAACCATGGTTACCCTGATGGAAAGGGGACTCTAACCCATGATCCGTCCAGCATTTAGGATATTTTAAGTTAACGCTGTGATCGGTGCGGCCGGATGCGGAATTCGTATAATCCAGCTATCGCTGGGATTAGAACCCCGGTTCCCTTCATTGAAAGACGAGCTCTCTGTCCCTTGACCCACCACATTATTTAAAGTTTTGTTTGAACAGTTGCAGATGCGTGAAACTATATACTCTGTATGGGATGTTTTATTTGTGTCACACATCTAGCGGATGATCCATTTCCGCAAAAACTCTTGCTATGGTTTCTGAATCAAAATCATTGATAATGGATGTGAAACGCTTTTCAACTCTGCTAGATAAACACGAACGGGTGAACAAACACATAGTTCTTTTCTTAACCCTACAGAAAGGCATAACAGGTGTTAGGGGTTATGTCAGGACTTCTGGGTGGCCATTGGGTAAGAAATATGTTGTATTCCGCAGACCGTCCAATCCATCGGTGAGACAGCTATTCATCAAAGTAATCTCACACGTAGGCAGACCAGTATGGTAGTGCACCATTTACTTGGAAAATGAAGGTTTTCAATGTCATTCTGCAACAGTGGCATCAACCAAGAGTTAACATATTCAAAAGTGTGGCTCCTGTGACAGTTTGCTCTTGAAAAAAGGGGCCAAGCATTTTTTTTTCCAAACACTGCACAGAACACACTTATCTCAGCGGAATCATTCACGCTATACTCAATGAATTTGGGATTTTCTGTTTCCCAAAAGCAAACGCTTTGCTTGTTTGCTTTTAATGTTGTGCTATCAGTGAAAACTAATCGGAATCGATCACTATCGATGGACTTGATAGATACGTTAACTCGCTTTAGGGCGGAGATTGATTATCGACTCGATGCGTGTCGTGTTACTAAAAGGTCACACGTAGAACATCTGCAACTGTCTCCAACAAAAATTAAAATTATCCTATATAATTCTGTTGAAGGTAATTTATAATATCTTATATTGTTCTTGATTTTGAGCATTGACGCTATACTTATTTAGGAATTACCCTGTATTTAACATTAATTTGAATCTTTCTTATCGGTTTTGTCATTTCATGACCGATAACAAATCTAGATATTAATGCAATATATGCAGATTTAGAAATTCCATTAGGTTTAGAAAGTTAAGTTGGATTAGAGATTTCTTTTTTAAAAAAAAATATTTAACTCATTTTTATTCATTTAAAAAAAAGAGGTGGAAGGTAGAAAACTATTTTAAAATATATTTCTATACCAAACTTAGACCTCTTAGTTTAAACAATTCGATCAATACAATAAAATATATATATATANTATATATATATATATATATATATATATATATATATATATATATATATATATATATATATATATATATATATATATATATATATATATATATATATATATATATATATATATATATATATATATATATATATATATATATATATATATATATATATATATATATATATATATATATATATATATATATATATATATATATATATATATATATATATATATATATATATATATATATATATATATATATATATATATATATATATATATATATATATATATATATATATATATATATATATATATATATATATATATATATATATATATATATATATATATATATATATATATATATATATATATATATATATATATATATATATATATATATATATATATATATATATATATATATATATATATATATATATATATATATATATATATATATATATATATATATATATATATATATATATATATATATATATATATATATATATATATATATATATATATATATATATATATATATATATATATATATATATATATATATATATATATATATATATATATATATATATATATATATATATATATATATATATATATATATATATATATATATATATATATATATATATATATATATATATATATATATATATATATATATATATATATATATATATATATATATAGGTACAGACGGAATTGTACTATAGGTATATAGGTACGGATATAGGAATCAAAGGTACGGACAGATATTTTGGTACTGACGGAAATAAAGAACACCTAACACAAAATATTCATACATTGTATGACTTCAGAAAACAAATAAAACTTTGAAAAAAAATTTCAATTAAAAAAAATCATATACATAAATAATATACAAAATCATATAATAAAATAAAATACAGTTTAAATCATAAAAAAATTATACATTTAACCTCTGCATATCTAGAAATATATAAATTAATATGCTTGCCGCAATCCCTCTGGAATATTTAAAGAAAACATTTCGAAGAAGTTTTCAATATCCATCATCATTTAGTTTTAAAACATCTATATATTTCAATTTAATATGCATGATAACTTCGTTTGATTGATGATCTGAATTGAAAACTAGCCGAGAAAACTTCAGGAAAGATTTGTTGGTGATAGATTTGGCAAGGATATTGGTAGTGACAGATTTTGGCCCCCTAGGATGAAATCTGTCCTAAGGTTATCTATTCGAGTAACGAGACACCTTTAGGTTTATTTTAGAAAGGGATGCCCACATAATGTAAATATAGTGAGTATTAGCTGTAGCTAAACTAACATTGGTGTCGAGAGAAAAATCATATCGTAAACACCTAGAAAATGTTTATATTATATATTTACTATACATTAATTTAAATATAGTTGGCATTATAATATGATTTCTTTTTAAAAAAAATAATTTTTTGCGAATAATTTTTGCATTCTTCCCAAATTTAAATATCTTTTAGTAAGGTTTGAAGCATTTAAAAAAGTATTGGCCAAAACAAAAGGTTTCTACTTTAACATTTCTGAATTTATTTACAATTTCCTTGAATTTGTGTGCAATTTGTTTACATAATTTATCTCAAAATTAAAAAAAGTGTTTTAATAAAAAAGAATTTTTTTTAAAATCTATACTATTATTTTTTACCATTGTTGATTATATGAAGCAAGAGAATTTTTTTTATATTATTTAATGAAATGATTGTTTTTAATAACGTCAAGCTTATTTTAAAACTTCACATGTTACATAGTTCGAAATTATTATACTTCATAAGTAATTACAAATTTGCATTTTGCAAGTAGGTATAGAGCCGATTTTATGTATAGAGCAAAGTAGATACATATTGTGATATGTATAGAGTCGAGCAGATTTCTTATGGCGGCTAGCCAAACAATCCATCCCAGCCATAAAAATGGCCCAAAGATCACTATAAAAAAGCTGTTCTAAGTAGCTGTTTTACTCGCTCTATTTATCACCGATGATATGGATGCTTATTCAAATCAGGAGAAGCCCAAGATTCTGTTCATTTACAGAGCAGTAAACGATAGAGCAAGGGAAGCTAAGATATTGTACCGAGAGCGTTTTCTAGCAAGACGCGTCCCTGATGCAAAGAAATTTTAAGGAATACACCAACAGCTCTGCGAAAGGGGTTCTTTTTCAAGTTGTACGCATGATACCGGACGTGGCAGGAGTGTAAGAACGCGATCTGTAACGGACGATATTGTACATCGTATCAACAAAAGGATTGAATGACAGTTGGGCACTGTCTAAAGCCGTTAGGTTTATAGGGTGTGGTGAGTGCTGTGAAAGGTAGAGATGCATTCCTACCAGGCGATGAGAGTTTGGTTCCTGGAATCATCAGATTATCAGGCACGTGCCAATTTTACCGCTTGGTTTTTCCAACAGACACCTCTGGACCCCGATTTTTGAGTCAGAACTGTTAAACCATGTTCCAGAACACTTCGCAGGACGCATGTCTTTCCAACACGACGGGGTACTAGCCCATTACAGCTTGAATGTGAGTGACTCCTCAGATATCGTGTTTCCTGGCGATGGATAAGTAATGGGTGGTCCGATCAATTGGTGGTCCGATCAATGGGTGGTCCGATTCAATGGGTGATCACTTCTATTCACTTCACTATGTTGCACATATTTTGTTTATTGAAATGTTTATGAGGGGTTTAAAAGGAATGAGAATTGCATAGTAGCCCATGATTGTAAATGTTATTCTGCTAAGATTCATTGTACCGACATTGGCTTTCTATGCTCGTTTAAGAAGATAGTTGTATTTACTTGGATTATCTTTAGTTGAAAATCTACTATTTATGTTATCCTAGCAATTATTGTTGAAATCTGCATTCCAACAGGACAAGAAACAGCTATATTTTCTTAATTTGACGGACTCGGTGAACTCAGTAAGTTAGTCGTAAAATTGTTAAATTACTATGAATAGTTATTTCTGAATCAATTAATTGATCATAACTATTGAAAAACGCAAAATCCATGCCAGAAAACTAAGATAATTTGGATTAAAAATCATTTTTCATCATTGAAAAAATCATCAAATGCGCATGAACTGCCAATTTATTAAGAGAGCCAGTATCCTTAAAAGCATACGACGACATTCCAGGTTGTGGGTTGCTGTATTATGATCTATCCGGCATGATGTACTCTATCACAGCTCAAAGCTTGCAACCGGTGTACAGAATCATCCTTGTATGAAATATATTTTTTTGATGCATTTATTTAAAATCTTTGTTTTTTATTAATATTATTGCCACCACGCCAGTATGTAATATTATACGGTATCGACTGACCGATATAATGGTTACCCCAAGTAAGAGATTATTTTTGCTTTTTTTTAATTTCAGGTATACATTTTAATACAACGATGCACCGTTTGATGGAAGAAATAGAACGATCAGTCAAAATATTTGTTCATGGCTTAGAACAGTTCCTAGAAGATCCTCAGAATGTAAATATGTCTCTGGCTCACAATTTGAATTGCACCTCGAATAGTGATATAAAATGGAACAAAGGCGAGCACTTTTTTAAGTTAGTATAGTTTCCATTTATCTATTTTTTGTTACAAGACTCTTAACTGCCCAAAAAAGGCGCTTAAAATTTGTGAACCTTATGGACAAATAAAGTTTCTTTTATGTTACAGAAATATTTATATATTTGGAATGGTTTTTGGAATGTTTTTTTTTTCCTTTTTAATACTTTATTTTGCAAGCGAATTTTATTTTCTTCGCTTATAGATGGTGTGTCAGTGGCTTAAAAAGAATTTATTTTAAGCTGAGAATAAAAAACTTTTCCTTTTGGCTTTTAGTAGTTTTTGGCCGAGAAAATATCAAGAAGGAAGATTATAAAAGAAATATCAAGCCAGATGAATTTTCAAGTGAAAAGAAATTATCAAGTCAAAAATATATCAAAAATATATAAAAATATCTCAAAAATATTCAATATCTCTCCATAATTTAGGTGAGAAAAGAAAAACGTTAAATATCAATAATAATAGTAATAAAATAAAAATAATAATTATATTTATACGCGCAATTATTACTATAAACACACACAGATATATATATATATATATATATATATATATATATATATATATATATATATATATATATATATATATATATATACACTGGTGTGCAAAACTTAAGCAACAAGTGGTTTTTCGGCCACAGCTCCCCAACAAAGTATAAGATAGCCATGAAATTGCAGTATAATATGCACGTAATTCAGTAGAAAGATTATTTGTATGCAAATTTTAGAAATAAAACGTCGTAGGTGATGTAAGTGTACGTAAACCTTGTGGGTCGGCGCGCGCAGGTCAAAGCTGTGATAAAAGGATGAAGAGCACCGTAGTTAAAGACATTCGCTGCAAGTGCAAGTGATTTGTTTTGTGAAACATGTCTTCAAGAAATCATTTAGACGACTTTACTCGAGGAAGAATGATTGGGAAGCTTGAGGAGGGGCGTAGTGTGACCAGTGTCGCCGAAGAGTTCGGGATCAACAAAAGTGTTGTTTCTCGTGCTTGGAATGCCTTTAAAACTACTGGTACAGCTGTTCGGAAGGTTGGTGGTGGCCGTCCAAGGAAAACAACACCAAGAGATGACCGTTACATTGTCCTCCAGGCGAAAAGAAACCGTTTTCAGTCAGCGAGCGCCATATCTCAGCAACTGTGCACAGCCACAGGACGACAAGTATCAAGATTTACAGTGGCCAGACGCCTCCACAAAGGTGGCTTATTTGCTAGACGTCCTGAACGCTGCATACCTTTAAAAGTTAGCCATCGGCGGCACCGTTTAGAGTGGTGCAGAGAACACGAAACCTGGACACCTCATCAATGGAGTCGCGTCCTCTTCACAGATGAGAGTCGTTTTAGTGCTACAAGCGATTCTCAACGTCAGTTGATCTGGAGAGAGGTTGGAGCTCGATTTCATCCCAATAACATCGCGGAAAGAGATCGTTACGGTGGTCCTGGAGTTGTCGTCTGGGGAGGCATTATGTTGAACGGGCGGACTGAGCTTCAGATCTTCGACCGAGGTTCTGCAACTGGAGACCGCTACTGCAATGAGGTAATCCTACCCTATGTGCGTCTGTTCCGAAGGGCCATTGGACCAGACTTCATTTTTATGGATGACAATGTCCGGCCACACCGTATTGCTAATGTTCAAAAGCTACTGGAAAGTGAAGATATCACTCGAATGGATTGGCCAGCTTACTCTCCAGATCTAAATCCCATAGAGCATGTGTGGGATGCACTAGGGAGACGTCTTACGACACGACAGTATCCTTCTGGTAGCACCCATCAGCTGAAAGATGCGTTAAAGGAGGAATGGAAACGTTTACCCCAAGAACTCCTGGATAATCTGGTGCTTAGCATGGAGAGACGATGCCAAGCAACAATCACAGTAAGGGGAGGGCATATCCCATACTAGGGAACATCTGCCAGTTATACTTACGTTTCTTCAGGCAATCATGTGTAACGCCACTATATGTCAAAAAAAGCCTTTTTTTGTTCCATACCCTACTTTAAGCTTTATATTCATTTCTGCGCCATTATTCTTTTACCATCGTTTAAGTACAAAATAATGTACATCATATTCAAATTTCATGTCAATCGGATGATTTCTTGTAGATTTTTTACAAAAAACGCACTTGCTGCTTAAGTTTTGCACACCAGTGTATATATATATATATAGATATAGATATAGATATAGATATATATATGTATAATAAATAGATTGCTCCACAAAAGTTTTACGTCATGGCAATATGAAAAAATTTCGTCAAATTCAATTCAGTATAAAATTACAAAACAATAATAGTGCTTAAGTGTTCAAAGTTTATATCATATAAAATAGAACGAATTTAATACATGATTAGAGTATTTTACTTTCGATAACTTCCTCAAAAATTTATTGTTTAAATATGTAATGAAGCAAAAAGGTGGTACTATATTAAATTGCAGTTTTAGCATTGAAAGCTTCTTTGGCAGTTTAAATGCTAGAACACAATTATTAAATTTATGCACTTAACTCAATTCACCTTTGTGATGTAACGTAAAAGAACTAAAAGCATTAAACTACCTTTGCAAACGAAGAAGAAAAATGTGGTGCATCGAAAAAAGAAACTTAGATAAAATACGTTTTAGCGATGTTATTATTTTTAAAAGAACGTTTTTATTGCAATTTTCCAGAAAACACCTATGTTAAAAATACTAAATTCAAAACCAAATGATGCATGCAATTTAAATTTATGCACTGAAAGTGTTCTAAGCAGTTTTATATGATGAATTTTAAAAAAATCTTCATTGTGAGCTCTATTGAATGCTAATAAATCTATTGTTGTTTTATAAAACTATCTTCTTTTGGTTTAAATTTGATTACACGAAAATAAGATTCAAACACGTTTATCCTTCTTTTAAAACGATTTTGATAAAGAATATGAGTAAATCTTCTTTGCATAAGATAATTTACAGGCAGTTGCCATGGATACCATTCCTTGCCATCGTTGCCATGTCAACTATTATGGCACGGAAAGAATTTTTGCAGTCATTCAGCTCAACAGGTAGCTTAGAAGCTTCTTCGTTTAAAAAGAGCTACTCCTTCAGTTTAATATAATGCTATTTTTGTTTTCCCTCTTACGTTTGCACAATTAATGCAAGCAATTTGTTCCAAGTTGAAAACTCTCTAATTACTTTATAGCAAAGTGAATTACGAAAAGAGTTTAATGCAATAGAGAAAAATTCTAAAACGTATTTTGAATAGAAGATTTAATATATTTTTTGTTAAATATCCTTTTAGCTGCTCGAATAAAACTCGCATATTTCCATTTTTAAAGTATATTTTAAAATCATTTTTTGGGCAAAAATTCAAAAAATCATCCTTTTCTAAATATAAAACAAATCCATTATCATTACAATAAAATGAATAAAATTTTTGTTCAAAGGTGATCTGATTTCTTTTCATTATTATTATTGTGTTTATCAATAAATCAAATAAAATAAATATAGATTTGTCATTAATTAAGTTGTTTTTTTTTACATAATATATGATGTATGATAACGGTAAATATTAATTCATAACTTTATCATTATTATTTTACATTGTAAAAAAGAATTCAGAAATGTTATTGAAAAATGACAAGTAACTAATATGCCTAATTTATACCATTAGCATTTCTAAGAAAAAAATACTCTTTTTTTTAATATTCAGAAGCGCTTTCATCATAATTAGAAAATATTATTTTAACATATTTTTCAATATGTAGCACCATCTGTTGTCAAACTTTGTATCTAATTTTGAAACACATTGTGAATTACTACTGGTTTCTTGATCAAAACGTAACAGATCGCACATTTATTTCTATTTCCCATTAACTGGTTTTTGAAATCTTTGGGTACTTTAGGGACACCCAGTATTATTAAAAGGCACATAAATGCTTTTGTTCTACAATTTGAGAACTCCTGTGACAATAATGCAAACGCTCAAATCGATTGTTTAATTTTAATAATAACACTATTTTTTTCAGAAAAAGTTACATAATCATTCAAAACACTAACTCCCCCTCCCCCCAAAAAAACATTAGCTCTTAATACATTTTACTTTTCTTTTCTAATTTTATATATATCAGCTATCATGGTAAAATAAATTATAGATTTATCATGTAACTAGTCAACACATGATTGTATTGTAGTAATCAATACAGTTTTCTCTCTCTCTCTCTCTCTCTCTCTCTCATTGTTTTTGACATATACAATGTTTTTTTTTATCAGATAAGGTTCAATTTCTATATGATGATCAATAAAAATAGTTGAAGTAAAAAGCATGAGCATTTTTTTATCATTTAACTCTTAACGGAACAATACCGCCGTAACAGCGGTATGGGACTTTTCATCATTGGGTCCAATACCAGGCCAATGATGACTAAATTTATTTATTACTTTATCAAACTTTTTCATTGAAATATTTAATTTAATAGTAATTAAATATATAATCATTATTTTAATTAATTATCATAATTAATTTATAATTAATTATCATGATTAATTATTGTAACTAAACAATGTAGTTATACCTTGTGAGAAATGAACATGAAATACTTCCTGATCGTTAAGCGTTTAGTAAACAACTTTGTTTTTTAAAACTTATTAACATTTTTAATAATATATTACCTATTTTAAGGGAAAACAATTTGTAGATTGAACATGAAACTATGAAATCCATGGCTAATTTACATTTACAACTGTCTATATCTCTCCTTTTGACTGGTTTTAATACAATATTTTTAACGAAAAAGATTCAATTTCTAGATAATAATAAATAAAAATATTGAAACTACAAATCATGCCTGTTTTTAGATCATAAAATTAACAACTTTTTTTTAAAATTTTATATTAGTTTTTATCATAACACAGTAGCAATATTACGATAAAATAATTTATAGATTTAACATCGAAACTATCAATTCCATGGCTATATTGTCCTGATGAATGCCTCTTTCTCTCTGATTTTCATAGATACTTGCGTAATGTGAGCATAAAGGAGAAAGGGGGGAAGGCTGATTTAGAATTCAATCTAGACGGAACCCTCAAGTATGTTGAACTGGAAGTTATGAACCTTAACAACATGGGATTCTGGGAAAAGGTGAGCTCTTATTCTCCTTTCATTATATACTTCAAGGGAAAGGTCGATTCTCGCTACAGTTAAACAGATGTTCTCATATGTATGAGATTGAAGATTTCTTGTAAGCAAAGCTATTCAGTCTAGCCTTTCCAAGGATACTATTAAATGTATTAATAAATACTTTTCTTGTTTTTGTCTAGTTGTTTGATGATTTTTTTTTATTTTAACTAATTATATATTAAAGAAAAACAATTTTTGTTCCCTTAACATTGCCCAGTAAAAAAAACTCGGCTTTTAAATTGTTTACAAGGTGGACTATGGATTCCAATTACTGATCGAATAAATACTGAAAATATTTTGTAAGTTACATACTGTAGGGAGCAAAATTCTTAAGACGATAGGGTTTTTTTTGTTCTCACTTTTATTATAAGCAAAATTTCTTAATGATTTGAATTAGTAATTTGTAGCTTTTGTAGCAGGAGGTAAAGACTAGATGCTATAGGACATAATTCGATCGTGACAATTCTATCACTTAAAACTTTCAGAGCCTACATTTGCATTGAAAATACTTCTCACCTATGAAATACTTTTTTGCCTAAAATTTTGATGACTTCAATGACATTCGATCCCCTATTTGAAGTATTGCATATACTCTTCTTATTCTTTCCTCCATAATCTGAATATATATATTTTGGAGTACTCTATATTTAAACTTTCTATAATAAATACGTAAAAATCCCTTTTAAAAACAGCCAAATTTTTAACATGTATAATTATTTGTTTCCCAAAAGGCATATTCATCGTCATCATTACAATAACTTTTATTACGCAAATCAGTTTTGCATAATGCTTTGAGTTTCGTTCCCTTTCCTCTACGGTACAAAGACGCCTTGCTAAGTTCCAACTAGATCATCCAAATGTCAACGATTCTTCACCATGTAAGTTTAGGTCTTCCACGTTTTTACCTTTTCCTCTAGTCTCAAGGTAAAGGAATCCGGTAGGTATTTTTAAAGCATGTTCAATCCACGTCCATCCTCTATATTTCCTAGACACCTATCATACAGAACTACTAAATAATTTCACACAATATGGCAAGTGCTATAATTACAGTGGTTTTTATTTTGAGAAGATGCTGAAATGACATTGCATCTCTTTCAATAAATCAAATTATGCTTTGTTCGATTTTATTGGCCGTGAAAAACTTACTTGTCTAGATGATCTTCATAAATACTATTCCTTTTGAATATTTCAATATTGTTATTAATAAAATAGAATTAATGCAATTTCTAACTTCAAAAAAATTTATATTTTTAAATACTACTCTACAATTTATAAATCTACACTGTAAAATATTTTTTGCTAGGAAACTTAATAATTCTCTGACTTTCCTACAGAAAATGTCTGTTCTCCAAAACTACAGAAATTTACTGTTATACTCTATCGTATTATGTCAAAAGAGACATTTTTTCTACAAACAAATAAAATCTGTAACTATTGATATCTATTTGACATATAATTTGACTATCTGAACTCATTGTTCTGTGTTCTACGCATTCAGAGAACCACTGTCATCAATGCCTTCATCAGCAGGTTCATTTGAAACGGAGACCAGCTGACTGCCATTCAATGAAAGCTCGTTTTTTTTCTTCTTTTTACTTCATATATCATCCCATACTTTTCTTTTTTCCGATATTACCTTTTGCCCATTTTTGCGTTAAAACATGAAATTTTAAAGCTTATAGACAAATTTAAAAAAAGTATATGTATTAAAAATTTCAAACTCTGCATTGCAAATAAAATTATTACATATCATTTCATTAAAAAAAATTAGGAAACCATGCTTGGATTTGAAAGTAGTATAAAGAAGATGAGGTTACAAATAATTGTTTCAGGAAAATCATATTTTAAATTTGAAGATTCATAAATGCTGCATAAAAAGCAGATTAATTATCGTTAGAATCCTTTTGAAAGTATGAATTTTTGGAAAGCGTTTTGTACACACCTTATTTGTTCATCAAATAACTCAAATTATACCCAAACCTTTGAATTTCGAATCTAAATTAAAATTTATGAATCTAAAGTGATAAAAACACGAATTTTATAAAGAATAACCCTTTCCAAAATAGAGCTCCCAGTCTAGAATCGTTTATTTTAAACTTAATTAGCTTGTAGAATTGTTAAACTATTTGTTTCTTAACGTCCAATGTCTTATAGAATCATTGGGTGAAATTTGAATCTAAACTGAAATTTATGAATCTAAACTGATAAGAAAATTAATTCCTTTTAGAATATCCCTTTCCAAAGTAGCACGACCAGTCTAGAATCATTTGTTTTAAACATAGTTAACTTGTAGAAATAGTAAACTATTTGTTTCTTAACGTCCAATGTCTTATAGAATCATTGGGTGAATTTTGAATCTAAACTGAAATTTATGAATCTAAAGTGAAAAAAAAATTATTCCTTTTAGAATATCCCTTTCCAAAGTAGCACGACCAGTCTAGAATCATTTGTTTTAAACATAGTCAACTTGTAGAAATAGTAAACTATTTGTTTCTTAACGTCCAATGTCTTATAGAATCATTGGGTGAATTTTGAATCTAAACTGAAACTTATGAATCTAAACTGATAAAAAAATTAATTCCTTTTAGAATATCCCTTTCCAAAGTAGCGCGCCTAATCTAGAACCATTTGTTTAAAACATAGTTATCTTGTAACTATGTTAAAGAAATGTTAAATAATTTGCATCTTAACGTCCAATCTTTTATAGAATCACTATTTTTAAGCAACATAAATCTAAAATATATATCTTTACTTAGAACGCACAATCTACGATTACAGTTTCTTATGCGCTGTCTGACTAAAATCTTTATTCAACTTTACCATACCGGAAAGTGTTACATGAATAAATTTTTTTTAAAAAAACCCAAAAAATAAGACGTCCTGAAAATTTAAACTGCCGCACGATGTTTATGCAATATTAATCGTGCGTAAACATCAACTGAAATGGTAGTTTTTAGACTTTACAAAAAACTCCACCATCAAGTTTCGCGATTTCAGTTTCCCACAGTAATTACTTTAGTGGGAGCATTGCAATCCAAAACAGATTCATAACTAATTCATTTTCAGATCGGTGTATGGACGGAAGATGGATTGGACATTAAGGACATTGTGTGGCCTGGAGATTCACCAGTTCCTCCACCGGGAGTTCCAGAGAAATTCAACATGAAGATCACGTTCATGGAAGAACCTCCTTATGTGAATCTAGTTCCTCCAGATAATGAGACGGGGGAGTGTGAGACAAGCAGAGCTGTGCGTTGCAGGGTGGCTCCCAGATCAGCTATAGAGGGGTATGATTTTTCTTCCATATAATTCTGAATGCTAAAAAAATATATGAATAAATAAAACTGATTTCTTACTGCATATTCTTATTACATTTCTTATCTTAACGTCATTTCTATCATTTCTTATCTTATGTTCGTATTACATTTCGTATTACATAAATATAACTGATTTCTTACGTCGCCGTTTATCTGCAGAGAGTAATTAAAAGTTTGTAAATTTTCATTAAACAAAGAAAGGAAGTATTTATCTTATTTCACTCAAAAATAATCTTTCAAATTAAAAAAAAATACTAATGCAATAATAATATTTTGCACTCTCGAAAAATCTGTTCAACGATGAACCATTAATTGTAAGCAAAAGAAAAAATATTTCATTTATTTTAGATGGAAACAATTCTCAAAATAAAGACATAACAAACAAAGCAATAAATATATATATATTTCCTCTGCAGTAAAAATTTGTACTCTCTCAAGAAAATCGGTTCAACAATGAACCATAAATTTGAAGCAAAGGAAAATAATATTTCATTTACTTTATGCGGAAACAATCCTCAAAATAAAGATATAACAAGCAAAGCAAAAAATTATGTATTTCCACTGCAATAAAAAAATTTTACACTCCGGGAAAATCAGTTCAACGATGAACCATAAACTGTAAGCAAAGGAAAAAATATTTCATTTGCTTTACGCGGAAACAATCCTCAAAAAAAAAATATAACAAGCAAAGCAAAAAATTATGCATTTCCACTGCAATAAAAAAATTTTACACTCTCGGGAAAATCAGTTCAACGATGAACCATAAATTGTAAGCAAAGGAAATAAATATTTCATTTATTTTATGCGGAAGCAATCCACGAAATAAAAATAATAATATTAATAATATGCATTACTCCTGCAATCATAATTTCTTATACTTTCAAGAAAATAGATTGATTGTTAAATCATTAACAGTAAATATAGAATAAAATTATTCTTTTTTACTATACGCGGAAATGATCCTTAAACAAAAAAAAAAAAATTAACAATGTAAATATGTATTAACACTGCAATAATAATCTCTACACTCTCGGAGAAATCCGTTCAATGCTGAACCATTAATAGTAAACATAAATGGCAAATCATTTTTTTAATTATACGTGAAAATCATCGTCGTAATGATAAAAACGATAAAAATATGCATTACCACTTTTATAGTAATTTTTACACTGTTTGGGAAATCGGTTCAATGTTTAAGCATAAATAGCAAGCATAGAAGTAAAATATTTCTTTTATTGTATGATGAAAAATTAAAAACAAATAAGAAAAACACGTATTATCCTGCAATAACAATCTCTACATTTTCAGAAATGTCTGTTCAATGTTTCAAAGTGAACTGTTGCAAATTTCATGTAATAGAATTAACACTAGAACTCTCGAGAATAACTTAATTTTTGCTCTGCGCAAAAGAGAAAATAAATTTCAAAATAATACGGAAATAAATAAATTTCAAAAGAAATTCAAGTTATTTTTTTAATTCCTTGCTTAATCTTTCAGACTTATTATTTAAATTGTCTTAAAGTGAAAAAAATATTAAAGGGTACAAATAGCTCACAAAAGGTTCTGAGGAATTTTTTTTTTCAATTTTAGGAATTTTCTGTGTTGTGGTACAATTTAATAATAGCACAAAAGTTAATAATTTTTAAATAGAACTTATATTTCAAGTCACTTTTGTTTCTTCTGACTCACGTCTGGCAAGTCGCGAAAATGGGCGCTGGAAACATGCCGACCATTATTTCCAAATTTTATTTTTCTGAAGCGAATGAAGTTTTTAATCATAAGTACAATAAGTACTAACATTACTCCCTAGAAAAAGGTAAGATTATTCGAAATAATAAAGAACAATACAAAGTTGAAAAGCATTTTCGATTTACACCAAAAATATAAGTTTCATGAATTTTTTAATAAACTGAAGTAAAAAATAATTGTAAAGATGAAATAGTACATTTTCGGTGTGCCAACTACGCATATATAGCATAACCAATGTAACAAGTTTCAATAGAAAATATTAGAAAAAGCTGAAGATACTAATCAAAATATAATTATAATTTTATCTAATTAAAAAAGTCCAAATCCCTTGCACTACAAATCTTTAAAAACGATTTTAATTAGTTTAATAAAATTTCTCACGAATATGATATAGAATAATTGTTGCTTGAAATGATTCTAAATAAATACTTTTACACCGTTAAAAATTAAAAAATAAAAACTTTGAATTTTTATAAAATTTTTATACAATTGTTATCATACAATTTTCTGTTTAATTTATTTCATGAAACATTTATTGTAAACCTTTTCCATGGTCAAAAAATATATAAAAAATTTAAATTGCTTGAAAAAAATGTTTGCGCAGAACATTTTTAAAAGTAATTGAATTAATTAATAGCTTAATAATTTTTTTTACTATATATATTGTTCATGCATTAATAATTGGTTTCTAGCAGCTATACATGTGATAAAATATTAAAAATAAAGAGTTTTTTTAATATTTTAAATTCCCAATTTTCCCGTAATCATTAAACTTAAAAACAAACACATTCATTCTTACATTTAAATAGAAACAGATTTCTTAAAATATTTATGTATTTATTCCGTATTTTATTGCCGCTAAAATATGGTTTTCAGTTTCACAATTTTTTCCCCGAAAAATCCCATTTGTAATCCCTTTTACTCACAATACAATAAAATTTTTTATCCCAATTCAAATAAACGTCAATTCATTGAATGTTAGTGTACTGAACATGTAAAAGTTTTCTTTTTACCAAAGTAAAAATGAATCATTTTAAATTCGTCTTATGGTTTCAAATCCAGTTTGATTCAGTTTTTTCCAAAGTTACTTTGTTTTGAAACAGCTTTTTTTTTTTTAAAGTTTTTAGGTTTATACCCATTCTCTGTTAAAATAACGTATTAATAACGAATTGTTCAGATTTGAATAACGTATTTAAATATAATATTTTGGTGTTTATCGGCTATAGGGACCATGTGTTGGTCCCTATAATTCATAAGTACGAATTTTAATATCGCGATATATTGTCAGAAAATATCGTTATTTAACAATATATTGGTCCTTTTTCTTTCAACTTTAACTAATTTATATTATTTTAATATTGCTCACTATTTTTGTTACAAACATAAAATCTATCACCACTCATAATAATATCGTATTTGATATGAATTTATGTCTTTAATAATCTCGATATTGTAGTATTAGATACACTTTTGTGTATTATCGTTCGCTGGTGATCTGCTTAACCAGATTCTGGGGATAAAAATATATGTTAGGGAACTTGGCTTTATGGTCCCTATAACCTACAAGCACCGATGTTATTTTTAAAATAAAAGAAACCTTAAACTAAATTAATATTTTTACTTTTTTTAAATGTATGAAGCACAAAACAAATATTAAAAAGCTAAAAATGTTTGTAAGTTGTTTCTTACATTTTTTTTAAATGCAACTCACCAATAAATTATGTCAGGTATTGTTGAATTTTAGTTTTCGACAAAAATCAACTTAAAAAAATACCTCGTATTAAAATGATTCTATTTGGAATACATGAATTTCATTTTTTATTAGACTAAACATTTTTTGTCATTAAAACCACCTTAAAAATTATGATTCTCATTAGGCAACTCTAAGACCTTTGACTTAAATTCACTCTCAGAAATATAACTCTCAACCAGGAATCTTTGACCTGTATTTCGTTTATGTTGAGTACCGTTTATTTGTCACGAAATCGCGTGATTTGTGACAAAACGTGAATTTTCATATATATGAAAGATGAAATATTTCTTTAATTTTGACGAACTTCGCATCCTTTAGGAAGCAATCATGGTTATTTAGTAACTTTGACAAAAAAAAAATTTCTCGAATTTTTTCGAAATTTTTTTTTCACGAAACGGTTTCGTCAAAAACGAAAAAAGTTTCGTGATATTTGAGTATCTATTTTTTACAGTGTTCTGATATCAGATTGAATGTAATTTTCATAGAACCTCTGAAAATAAATAGGGCTCGTTTTGAAACTTGGTGCTCAAAAGTAAAATATTTTGCTGTGATATGTCTAAATCATTGAAAGCCAAAATCAAGACTTGCTTCATTCAGATTTTAATATTTTTTTTCTCCTTCTTGATTCTTACATGCGTTTCTTTTTCATTTTAGGGCTAACATTACGATGGCCATGCGTAACTCTAATTATTTTATGTGCTGTTCCGGTTTCTGCATTGACCTGCTGCAAAAGTTTGCCAATGATTTGAGATTCAGTTATGATCTGTATCGTGTAGAGGATGGAATATGGGGAGTCTTTGAGGTAAAAAAAAATTTCATTCCTTTAAAATATTTGGTAATTTTTGATGTAATATTAAAAGTTCAGCACTTTTGGGGGAAAATTTTACAAGCGAAAAGTCACCAAAAAATGCAGCCCTTTGCCAATTTTTCAAAAAAAATTTTTTTTTTAAAAAAGCAATCTAGCAGGCGGTGTTATCCTTCCCAGGATGGTAGAATACTTAAAATATTAAATGTAACCGATCGATAAATTTTTTTTAATTGCCTCAGTATTCCATAATGCTCTATATACTTTTTTTTCTTAACTGATGTCATCACATTCATCATTCAAATCATCTCATTCCTAATGTCACAAATTATCTGAATCGAAGGAAAAAAATTCACAGGCGTACTTAAAAACGATCTTCTATTACAAATTCAATTTTTAATTAAAGTTAGAGTTAAGTAAGAAAAAAATTGTTTATTTTAGAAATATAATTAAACAAATGTTTAACTAGGTAAGCATACCTCAAACATATTCCACTTCAAATGAACAGATTAATGTGCAATGTCTTGGTTAAGAAATCAACAGATGCTACAAAGACGTCTCTCAAACATAGAACACCAACAAAATTAAAATGGCCACCATAGTTGAATAGTCATACGTTGGTTTCAGTTATCTAATACAAATAAGAAAATTGAATTAAACAAAAATGAAGACCAGAATTTAAGTAAAATAAGTCAAAATGAAAAAGTGCTATAAAAAGCTAAAAACCAATTTCCAAAGAGGGCAGCACTGGAATTTTTAATTTCACTTAATTGTCTTAAAGATCTGGCAAATTAATATTTTTTGGTTATTTTAACTGTAACTTTCTCCTTGTTGATTTTATATGTAGACTTGTTACTTTCAGTGAACTTTTCAATTAAAATATTTTTGTTTTAAATTGTGTTTCTTTGGATATTCAATTTTATTTTGAGGTATTGTATTGTATTCCTATTTTGTTTCATTATGGGGCCTCGGAGCGTAGTCAGTTTTGGTTTAACCAGAGACTACAGAAAGGTACCAGCATATTAGTATACCCGCGTGTCCCCTGATGAAGTACTGTTTGTGCTAACATGCGTAACTTTAAAATTTGTTAGGTTTTTATTTAAATTTCTCACATCTTTATTTAAATTGTTGACTTCAGATATTCTTATTGCCCCTCACTGAAAATACTTCGTGTAGCAAAGAAAATTAAGTTTTTTTTTTACCCAGGTTCTACCATTTGCTGCTTGAAATTTTTAGTAATTAAAAATAAAATTAAAAACATATTCTAACTAAATAATAAATTTCTATGAAAAATAAAAATATATAATTAACAAAAAATTGAATGCCATATTGACTGAATTCTCCAAGGGTTTTCATTTCAAACTGTAACCAATCTTTCCTGTTAAGCATTCATTTCTTTTTCATTGAATAACAAGGAACGAAATTTCATTGCAGAAGATCAACAAGATTAAGTTTTAAAATCACCATTCAAAAATTCTCTTAATTATAAGCCGTCGTTTAAATTAATTGCCATACAATTTGAACATAATCTTCTCTATATTTCGTTCAAAGGCTTCATGCTGAGAAAAGAAATCATTTTAATTAACTAAATAAGACTTTCTCTCCATTCACAGAACAACACATGGAACGGATTGATTAAGGAAATCTTGGACGGAAATGCCGACATGGTAGTTACTTCTATTAAGATCAATTCAGAACGACAAAAAGCAGTCGATTTCACGGTTCCATTCATGGAGACAGGAATCGCAATAGTTGTCGCCAAAAAGACTGGAATTATTTCGCCCAAAGCCTTCCTAGGTGAGAGACCAATTCACTATCTTTTCCCGGCTTTTCACATTCCCTAGGATTAATTCATTATAATCGTCATTGTTTGGCGAAACTCCATGGCGTCGATTCATGACAAGAAAGTCCTTATTTATTTCTCCCTTGGAATTTTCTGTCGGCGACGCCTAACAAGGTAAGGAATTAGTCATTTTGACATGGATTTAGCGCTCGTTTGGCGATAGGTATTTACTGTTTGGAATAAAAGAGTGATGCAAAAAAATATTGGAATATATTTCAATTTACTATTGACATAAAATTGTAGTTGAGATCACGTTAAATACTGTTTTCTATTAAATGACAGTTTATTATCTAAGGAATAACTTAAAATCTTGTTATGATCTTTCTTCATAGTATCAATTTTTTTAAAAAAAATTCTCGCGTACCACTACCTGATTCTCGCTAAATTTTTGAGCGGAAATTTTCATGTTAAAGTTTAAAAAGGTATTATAAAGTCAAAAACAAGGTCATTGTTTAAATTTTTTATTCTTTTTACATCGTTTTCTACACTTCTTCTGGAAGAGTTTAGGCTCATAAAAGATGCCATTAACACAGATTCGCGAAACAATCACGCCAAAATTGATTTCATTTTGCGCACTGTATTTATGGAAATAAACTTTTTCGAAACTGCTATGTATGAAATAAAAATATAGAAAAACTAAATTTAATATAAAAATGGACTTGAAATAAAGAAAACAGCTGCCCTCATCTAACCTACCCATCTATCCTTTTGGCACCAGCTGGCACATAAGGCCTCGAGTCTCTTTTTCCAGACACCCTTGTCCCTTTGCCTCCTTCCATCCATTTAGTTTTGCTTTGCACAGATCTTGGTTAAATTAAATAAAAAATTATTTATTTCTTACTGCTATTTTTTATTTGTTTCATGTATAGCGTAGGACCCACATAAATACTCAAGACCCATTGAAAATACTAGCTATGCATTTTTATCAATATTTATTATAATGTCATAATGGAATTATTAATCCTGAAATTAAGTCTAAAAAACAACATAAAATGTCCAAAATTGGGGTGAGATTCGTAAAACCTAAAAATATAAATTGATGAGGTGCTCAGTAAAGAAGAGGTACGTGAACTAAAAAAAATTTAAAAAAATCTTTGTCATATGCACACTAGTTATGAGAATTTGCACATAAATGAGAATTTGATTTTTTAAAGTTAAATAGCATAACATCATAAGTATGATTTTATCTCGTATTACTGTGCGTCGTAGTAATAGAAATAGTTATACGTAAACTCGCATTTTTAAATTATGTTTAAATCTTATTATAGTTCTACTTCAGAAATTGTATTAGAAATGATAATTTATTCTATATATCAACTCGAAATTGTTATGAATGCAATAAAATGTATACATATTATTTTAGAACCATTTGATACAACGTCATGGTTGATGATCCTTCTTATCAGTATACAATTTGCGGCGATAGCAATTTTCTTCTTCGAATGGCTGAGCCCCTCGGGCTATGACATGAAAATGTTACCCCCCAGAGGTAGGTACTCAATTCTTCTGTCTACACATTTCACTATTTATGCTAAGAAAAAAAGTTTCATGAACGTTTGAAATGCTTATTCTGAAATGAAATGTTGGTTTAAACTAGAGCCATTTTTTGTTTTACTCCTTTCCACCCCCTTTTTTTTTTAAATTTTATTCTTTGACAGTAATACTGATTGCTTTTACTTTTATATTTTTTACCAGCCTTTTGTCATTGTTTTGCCCTTATTAGGAGCATAATGTGCGGGTCAAAAAATTTGGCACTAAATTCCATTTTTTAAACGAATCTTCACACATATAAAAAAAAATTATAGCTCGTTCACCAGGAGTTGGCACTTGGCTCCGCCTTCATCACGTGGTATGTGACGATATTATTTTGCTATTTTCGGGAGAAGGTTGTGAGCTATCCTGGACAAGGTTGCTATTTGGCGACTGTATGGCAAAGATATTTATTTCGCTAACTTTATCTGCATTTTTTTAACATTAAATATTTGATAAATTTGATGATCTTTCGCTCCATTTTTTATGATATTTCTCTCTTTTGAGTGAATAGTTTGTCTTTTTTGAGACATTTTGCTGGGAAAACAACAGTTTTCAAATTTAAAATATATTTATTTAGCTAGAGTAGCAATGGAAGATGATAAAGCGAAGTAAATGACTGAAAAAGAAGTCACTGTTTGTGTTTGGCACGCATTAAGGGTTGTCTCAATTTCAAGCGCGGAGATATTTCTCTTCTTTTTCCCGCTCTGAAATGAACTATGCGTCAGGGGCGGCGGAGCCAAGTGCCAACTCCTGGTGAACGAACTATACATATTGGTTAAAAACATCACAATAGCTCTAATGTTATTATCATATACATGACCATACCTTGAACGTATACCGTATCTTATCTTATCTTACTTACTTAATTTTAATATAATTATGCCTCATTTCGTAAATTTATTCAGCTAAAAATCATCTTGCTAATGGAATACTTAATAAAGATGCTTTAGGTGAATCAGCTTCGTATACTGAAATGAACAAAAGTTTTTGAAATAATTCATAACAATTCTTTTTTTAACTAAATTACCAAGGCTATTAAACCAAATATAAACATTTTATAAATTTGTAAAAAGTGATTAGAGTAAATTTGTTGATAAATCAAGCAACACAAGTTTAATTTCAGATAAATTGAAAATTCATTTAATGGAAACTACCAGTAACTTTTTTCCATTTCATAAAGTGAAAAAAAAATTAGAATTGGTTTTAGCTAACTGCAAATAGTAAATAACTATATGCATTAGGATGAAACGTTGAGATAATTGTTTGATAAATTTTTAAAATAATAGTTTATCAAAACTATTGTACGTTATACAGTAGTAAAAACTCAGAGTTAAATTTAAATGCTCATGCATGCAACTATTTTAGCGCTAAGGAAAATTATTTATTCAGCAAATAAATTGGTATCTTTAAATAAAATGTTCAATTAAATAACAAAAAGTACAACAACAAAAACCTTCGGAAAGTAACAAACGGGCTTAAGAATCCTCTAAGCTACAATTTATTCTTAATTCCTTGTTGCCCCAGTGATGGTGAAGCCTGTCAATTTTAACGGAGCTCATACCTTTGGCTGAAACTGTCATGATTGCCATCAGGAAAACGTACTAAAGATCTTGAGAAAATTGGATTAGATCAGTCATGGTCGAGAGCTTGGTGATGGGTAGCAGCTGAACTACACACCAAGTCATCTGCATTTTATCAAAATTACGTGCTTGCTGAGTTTTGATAAAGAACGACGCGTTGATAGATATGCATGCTCGTAGTGTTGCTTAGTTAGTAATGTTTGCTGTATATAATTAGTTCGTTAATTATTTTATTCTTTTTAATGTCTTTTAGTTCTACATCTCTTTCCATAATATTAACAATTTCCTTGCATTATCCTTTTAAATTAAAAATAAGTAATAATCCAAATAGTCAAATTCCATGAGGAAAAATATTTTCTCGATAACTTATTATTTTTAATGGCGGGCACTTGGGGGTTGTCCCATTGGCCACGGAGATGCCAGAACTGCTACTCTCTTCACGTTACCTAGTGGGCACCTGTGGCGAAGTCGCGACGGTGGAGCAGCGTTGCCCACGTCACACAACCACAAACCAGTTTATAGGACGGGTCACATTCACATAATCACACACAAAAGAGAAAGGACATAGAACACAGAGAGAACGAAACATTCATGCCCTGAGCAGGATTCGAACCCACGACCAGCGGCTCCACAGTCAGGCATGCGAACCACTCGGCCACCAGGGTGGCGCAATCAATAACTTTAGTACTACGAATTTCACCATGAATTTCTAACTTATTTTATCAGATTTCTCCATAATGTCTTGTTTATGAAATGTTTGTTGTCATTTTGCAGAGCACCGTTTCTCGCTGTTTCGTACTTATTGGCTAGTGTGGGCCATTCTGTTTGGGGCAGCGGTCAACGTGGACTGCCCGAGGGGTTACACTGCCCGCTTCATGTCGAATGTGTGGGCAATGTTCGCCGTAGTCTTTCTCGCCATCTATACTGCCAATTTGGCTGCCTTTATGATTACTAGAGAAGAATTTTATGACCTCACAGGAATTGAAGACGAAAGGGTAAGTCTTCAAGCAGAAATTGCAAATAATTGAATTTAGATTGATTTGAAATTTCAAAATAACTTAAGAAATCGTGAAATTAATATCCAAATAAAACAAATTTCCTATTTGTAGAGCCGTAATTCTAAAATAAATAAAAGAATTTTTTTTTTAAAATCTTTTAGATCTGTATTTTTTTTTTGGGGGGGGGATTTCTTTTTTTACAAAATTTTAATTATTTATTACATTATTATTTCATCTTAGAGCAAAGATTCTTTATTTAAAATTATAGTTATCATATCTTGAGTTAACAACTCCTGGCCTTGTGTGGATCTTCGGATCCTGCAGGTGCCGGTTCCAAGCTCGGATAACGTGATTCCAGTGATTAAATGAGTTTAAGATATCAATACAAATTTGTAACTGCTTGATTTTTACCATTTCTATTGACTTGCCATCACAAGAAAAACCCTCATGCAGCAGTGCCTGGTATGGAGGCAAAACAGTAGGAATGAAACCTTTCCATTCCTACTTTCTTTTTTAAAAGAGTAAAGCATTTTTTCCAGACAGTGAACAATCCTATATACATTTTATATTGATTACTACGACATGATGCCACGGATGTTTTAGTTTTTTCTCAAGCTATAATTTACGAAAATTTATTTAATTATTCTAAAAATAGGGAAAAAAACGTTCTCAAAATTCTCAAAAGAGTGTAAATACACGGATATTTTTTACAGTGTAGTTACTTTAAAGTAACATGGACAACAAAAGCTCCTTTCACGATTTTCATATAGTGTATTTTTATATGGAGTAAAATTGGTATTGTGGTGAGTGGCAGTTTGAAGCCCACCCAGCTTCAAATCGATAGTTACCAGCTTGTTTAAGGAGCAAGGGTGTCACCATCATACCGCAGGTCTCTAAATTGTGGAACCTTAAAATATGTCATCCTTGGTTGACAACCGGCTGTAGACGGGGTGTGCTTAACTTAAGAGGTTATACGTCAAAAATAAGCTTCTTTCGCAACATTTGTATAGTATATTTTTATATAGAGTTGAATTACAAAGATTTGTTTCTGCTTACATGTTGAGAAAAGTTCCCCAGATGATGCTGTAAATGCAACATTATTCAATTAGGGTTTCTTTTATTTACCGTTTTTCTTTCTTTTTAAATGCCATAGCTATACAATCCACGCAAGACTACCCCTCCATTCCGGTACGGCACCATACCCCACGGAAACACGGAAGCTGTGCTAAGAGTCAACAAGCCCGAACTTTTTCAATACATGAAGGCATTCAAGAAGAAAACCGTACTTGAAGGCATCAGGGCAGTCAAGAAATCGTAAGCACTTCAACCATTCCTTTAACTAATTCAATAATTCTTAATCTAAAGTAACTAGTACGTAGTAGTAAATTATCCAAGCCATAACTAATACTTTTAAATTTTAATACAAAGAGTAAATTTTACTATCAAACTAAATTTTAATTTAAAGTACCCAGAGTAAACTTTACTATCAAACTAAATTTCAATTTAATTTCCTAAGTAACTAGTACGTAATAGTAAATTTTCTGACCCATAACTCATACTTTTAAATTTTAGTACCAAGAGTAAATTTTACTATCAAACTAAATTTTAATTTAATTTTCTAAGTAACTAGTACGTAATAGTAAATTTTCTAACCCATAACTCATACTTTTAAATTTCAGTACCAAGAGTAAATTTTACTATCAAACTAAATTTTAATTTAATTTCCTAAGTAACTAGTACGTAATAGTAAATTTTCTAACCCATAACTCATACTTTTAAATTTTAGTACTAAGAGTAAATTTTACTATCAAATTAAATTTTAATTTAATTTCTCTTTATATAATTTTATTCATTAAATATACAGGTTGACAACAACTAAACTATATTAAGTTTATTTTTCAAAAGCTTCTTATTTTAAAAATTTTATACGAATTTTAAAAAAAATAACTTTAGCAATCGGATTCAGTTTATGACTTGCTCATCATTTTTGCCGTCAACGGTCATGATGTAGCAGGGGCGAATAATGAAAATCATCCCACATGTGTTTGATGGCCTACAGAATGGTAAATTTGTGTAAACCATGGTTTTGGGGTTACTGCTTAAATTTAAATTCACTCCTTAGCCCTACAACACCTGAATGATCTTGGTCTCTTCACCACCAATCTATAAAACTTGCCGTTCCTCAGCTTTCTTTTTATAGCTTTTAACTTTCATGATTTTAGGTCTCGTTCAACTTCTCGAAGCCATCGCTTTCTGGGTCTTTCAACATCAGCACTGTTATCTTTCCCAAAAAAGACTATTTTAAAATTCGATTCTTATTCATTCTTATTAAGTAACGCAACCACTATAACATTTCAGACTTTATTATGTTAATTATATATTTGTCTTCAGATTGTTTCTTAATATCTAGATTTAAACTGATTCTCCAAACATTTCCATCCCTTACAGGTCCAAATATTTTCGCATAATTTTTCTTTCTGGAGTAAAACTTAATTTTTCATAATGTTGTCCAGTTTTCACTTTCATGACTTATAACTAGTCTCAAAATTTTTTGTAGTTATTTTTCTTTGATACTGCATCGCAAAAATTGGTCAAAAAGGGCTGAGTCAATAGAATAGGGAATAAATAGAATTAAGCTGAATGATCTAAGAAAATGGGAACGAATATTTTGGATAAAACGCGAGAACGTAAACAAGTAATACAAGAAACTTACTAAGATTTCTAGAGTCGAGGAGAAAAGATAGTGTCACCTTCAGACTTCAAAATAATGAGATCGATCCATCGATATTAATGTGCTATACACATTAATTTTGATGATTTAGAACGAAGGACACCAGCTCTAAAATGAGGCTGATTTCAGACTGATCCAAAATGAATGAACCCATGAAAATACGAGTTGGGCTCAACTAGTTACAAAATTTATTCCTTCAAATAACACTATTACCAAACTGATACCGAGTACAGCCCATTTTGCATTCATCACGTCAATTCATTTACTTAAATTGATCTATTTATTTATTGGTACGACATACATTTACAATCTTGTTTGCTCAATTAAGGCTTATAAACCTTTGTCAAGTAGGACAAATAGCACAATACAAAGAAGGACAGTACGAAGATACATCCGGGGTAACAGCGGGATTCAAGCCCGATACCTCCACGCTACGCACAGTGTTTGGTGGGTGATACCACTCGACCGGGGAGAAACCTCAAATTGAACCAGCAACAAACTTTCTTAATTAGTGGTGCCATCTAGGGCGAAATATATAAGAATTTACTTTAATATTTTTTAAATAAATTTCAAGGAATTTACTAAGTTGTATGCTTTGAAAAGTAATTGATACTATCTGAACTCGTTAATTTCGTAACCCTTTAAGGTACTTAATACTAAAAATACTAAGTGCAATAGATCAGAACACTGATACAAATCTACTTTCATTAAGTTCTAATCAACATAATGGTTGTTAGGCACCAGCAAAGTTTTGGATACCACGATTCAAATCATTATAGTTAATCAGAAGTTGGATTCATAAAAAAATTGCAATGCAAAGCTGTATCAACTATTCACGTTTGATATGAGATGATGTTGAGACAAAGGAAACTGGAGAATGATGCACGCAAAATATAATGTCAAACTGAGCAGGCTTCTCCCGAACACATCCTAGTCTGTTTGAGGCTTCCCAGAGAGGACATATACTCATCCCTCTTCTGGTTCTCGATTTTCTTTGGGTCAACAGTCTGATGGAGCTTGTCTGACTTCGTCAGGCATTTGCATATATGGCAACGTTACTTTTATAAAGTAACGAGTAAAAGTACAAGTATTTTTAAAAAAAGTAACGAGTAAAAAGTAAAAAGTTCTTATTTTAAAAAGTAACGAGTAAAAAGTACAAGTACTAAACAAAAAAAGTAACGATTTAAAAGTACATTTCTAGGAAATCGAAAATTCAAAGTAACCTAAAATTTTATTGAATAATATTCTTATGTTCTTTAATGTTTTTGCAAAATTGTTGTTATTTATTTAATTATTTTTAATTTTGAAAGTTATGGACATTAATTTATTTTTAAATTCGGAAGAATATTATAATATAATTTTATAATATAATCGTATAATATAATTTTAAAATCAAATATAATTTTAATATCAAACTTTTTATGGATTTGCACGAAAAAGAAATTTTATCTATTGATTTTAATTTTTAGTTTATTATTTTTATTTATTTAAATTACCATTGATTTAAAATTGTTTTACTCTTTAGAAACGCGTTTTAAAAGCACAAACATAAACAAAGCAAACACGGGGTTTCAGATAGCTTTGTGATCTTTGAGCTAGTAAAAAATAATTGAATGTGCAGTATAAGTTGAAACAGAAGGTATTTAAACACGAAGTTAGCTGTGAATGCATATATATTGCACATTAATTTTATAAATTAAAAAAACATAAGCATTTTTTTTAAATTTAATTTTTTGTTTTTTTAGAAAGCTTACCGAGTTTTAGAAAAAAGTAACGATTTCATTCGATATTTCCGTTACAAATACTTGTACTTTTTCCCTAAAAAAGTAACGAAAGTACAAGTAAAAGTACTAAATTTAAAAAGTAACGAAGTACAAGTAAAAGTACGTACTTTTTACTTGTACCGTCGGTATAAGTAACGAAAGTAAAAGTACTGCCATATATGGGCATTTGTAGAATAAGCCACAACAACACACAAAATATACATTTTAATTAATTCGCCACATGCTGAAACCACTTTAGACATCGGTTGTGCAACTGATAGAAACTGTCGACAAACTCAGTCTCTTTGTCCCATTCCCAGGAAGTAAGTTGGAGAACTGTAGGCATCATTGTTATATGCTGTTAAATCTGCGGAATGCTTGAAAATACCTTTTCCCTTCGTTTTTTAATTGCTAAAAAGCACACCTTTTCCATATTGTATACATTTCATGTGTCCTTGTTTCTGATTTCAAGCCAATCATGAAGCTCACGTGTTGCCTAATTTCAATAACACGCTTTGTAACACTGACTGTGTTTTGTAGCACTCACCTTTGCTTACTTTTTTCAATTTGAACGTTAAAACACTCTAAACACTCTAATTTATCACTAGTTAATATTAATTACACTAGTTAATATTAGTTACATTAGTTACTACTAGTTACTACTAATTACACTAGTTATTGTGACAGTAGTTGTTACTGTACCTACGTGAGCACAACATCTTAACCGTTCAACTATTGAGCCATTCACGGATCTTTCAGAACGCGTCTTGTAATTTTTCACGTAATTTTGTTTATCCATTGTTCCATTATATTATGATTCGCTGTATAGAACATGGCATTTTTATTTAATAGAATTTTTTTTGCAATGTTTTTCAGACGTTTCAAAAGTGAAAATAAAACGGTTTTAACTGATAATTACAAAAATGGTATATTTATATTTCGAGCAAAAAAAGGAGCCTCTGACAAAAATATTTCTACATTGCAAATGTTGTATTTGCAAAATATTTTGGAGGTTTCTTTTACCATATATGTGAAAGCAAGTGATAATTTTAGAAATATTCTTACAGAACAAGTTAATTTCTAAATCTTTTTACGACATTAAATATTTTAATAGTTACCCTAGTACTAGACTCTTAAATTTTTCTTAGATGCTTAAACTTTCTTTTAAAAGGCTTAAGTATAATTAATTTTTCAGTCTTTATCTTTGTTACACTACGACGTAATTGCTTATTAAATTTCATGTAGATTAATTAAGGAACAAAAGGAAACAAATGTACCTATAAAACATATTCCTCAGTTTAGTGTAATTAATGTCCTCAGGGTACTAAGAGAGAGTGAAAGCAAAACTTGATATTTAATTCACGCGGAGGCAAATTTGATTTACAAATACTTAACTGCTTACGTTATGAGTTTTAAAAATATTTGTAGTAAACCAAGCAAATATAAACATACTACATTTAAAAAATTTAATTAATTGATTTTATATTATTAATTGAAAAAATGGGAAAAATAACGTAATTAAACTACTTAATTAAATACAAATAATTGAAATATGTTCGATTTATCGATTATAAAATCCTGAGCATTTTTTGACAATTTTTATACAAGAGTATATGTAGCAAAATTTTCGGATTTTTTTTTTAAGTATTTAAAAAATTGAGCATATTTTTTACGTTACTGATATTTTATGCTTTTTGAAAAGTATATTTTATTTCAATAGGCACCAATGAGTGTAATTTTATTGCTAAGTCATTAGTATTATATTTATGACAACATTAATAGTTTTTGCGAACAGTTTTTAGGAGTTTCATGATTAATATTTCATTGTAATGAAAATTTTAAATTGTCTCTGGGGAACTGAATGCCTTTATTGAAGATGCTACCATACTAAAGTACTTAGTAATGAGCAAATTTTAATTTTTAGTATCTTCTCATTTATTACATGTTTAATTATTAGTAGCATCTATATTATTATTTAACATAAAGAAATAATTTGGATATTTATATAAAATCTCATTTCTACCGTTGTAAAATATCTTTATTTATCAGAAAGAATAAGTGCTATTTATGTCCTTGTGGAGCTAAAGGCATTTTTTTATTTATGAATATATATATATATATATATATATATATCCCTATCTAAATCTCCCAATTCATTTCTTAATGTCCACGTAAGACTATCTACCTTGCTAATTAATGGCCCACAAGCAAATGCTTGTCTTGATTTAACAAGGAATAAAGATAAAATAACTCAAAATTTATGTAAATATTTAAACATTGCTGCCTTTATGAATGTTTTTTTTTTTAAAGAAAACTAGCATATTTTGCTTTACACGTAAAGGGAAACCACGAAAATATCATTCAGATTGCTTGACGCTTAAAGAGTTCCTGCGAAATGCTCAGTAATCGTAATGAATTTTATGCAATAAATCATTTTTTTAGCGTCTTTGACAGACAGCCAATTATTTCGGTGAATATAACGAGATGCTCTTCATATTTTTTTGTAATTTTAAATTCATCCCAAAAATCAAAGTAACGCACAATTTAAATATCGGCGTAAAACAATGTTTATAAAAGTTATAAAAATAATTTATTTTAACCAAGATTAAGTTTAAATTAAAATAATCAAATTTTGCGTTACA